GTGGCAGCTCGAACTGGAGGTGACGGTCCAGAGGCGAGCGGTAGTCCTGAGTGGTCCGGCTCAGACTCCTCGGCGTCGCTGAGCGTGCCCATTGTTGGGCGCCGATGTAGGGAATCGGTGACCTCACCTGCGACGTACTTATTTAAGGACAAAATCTTAGGAATACCAACACTGGCACGGATCTTCTTGGGCCTATCTCCAAGAAAGGCGCAGCGATTCAGCTGCAGGATCAGAGTCCTGGGTAGCTGACTGATCTTCAAGGTGACGCAGGATTCATCGTGGCCGCAGTGCTGGCAGAGCATGGTGCGTCGTTCGGGGCACATGCTGAGATGTAGCGCTTCCTGCAGTGTCGGTATGTCGGTGCTCTGGCGGCGTGGCACGTTGACAAACCAGCAGATGTTATTCAGGTGCTTCATCACCGTCTGACCACATTTGATGCACGTCTTACTCTCCAGGATCTGATGTTGAAAATGTTCTCGAACCGGGTTATCCGTCAGGTGGCACGCATCTATCTCGTCGCTCATGGTGCCCAAAAGGCGCAGCAAAAACTCGCCGGCGTCCTGCATTTCTGTGCCACCGTACACCGGGTCCATGTCGGCAAACACTTCGTGCAGCTGTTTGAGGTGGGTAGCGACTGACTCAGTGAGCGCCTTTTGTCGGAGCACCATAAGTTTGGCAACAGCGCTCGTAGTGTCACATTGGCCACTTTCCCACTGACAAGGACCGGAGATCAGCGACATCATCTCACTCAGAAATGGATGCAGGCCCAACAGTGACTGCAGCGCAGCGTTCTGGTAACATGTGTTGCCATGGTTGGGTAGACCAATGTATAACGGGTCACTGCTTTTCCAGTCCGCCTCTTGCTGTCGAGTAGCCGAGAGCGATTGTGCCTCACGGCTGGCGGTCCGTGCCACCCCGTCATAACGCTGCTGTGCCTGCACCTTACTGCTTTCAACAGACTTGGGATGTGATGGTGGCTGATTCGTTTTCTGGCTATCAGCGCAGCTGGAGTCTCTGGCGTCACTCGAATCCGTTGATGTTTTGCTCCCCGGGACCAGCCTCCCCGGGACCAGCTATTATTTTTCAAATAAAGACTGTTCTTCTTACCACGATAAATACGAAGGTTATTCAACAACACAAACATAATTATTCAGGTTTTCAGGCACACAGGGCATTTGAGCATAGGGCGCAAGTGACGAAATTGCGTTTCCTTTTAGCATAATCGCACTCTTCAAACGATTCAAAATTATGACGAATGTTCGATCAATATTTGCTTGAGGCAGTACTATATAGTTATCTATATCAATTAGTTCCGTTCGAACAGCCGAACAGGACGTATTTTCTGAAACAGACGCATAGTCTGTCGGACTTCCATCCGTCCGTCCACCCGCTCACCGAAGCTGGAGGTCTGTCTGGGTATACTGTGCCGCGGTGCACACCACCGCGGCCGGAGGTCGGTATGGGTGTACTGTGCCGCGGTACACCAGAGTGCAGCGGCAGAGTATACCTCCGGCAGGAAATAAACTCTGAGACTCGAAAAATAGCTCAGTGAAGCCCACACCAAAGACTTTTGACTTTTTCACTTCCCATCTGGCCGGTGACTTTTTATCGGGATTCTTAAACACTATAGAATATATTGGAATGTAAAGCTGTCCGTTTTATGTATGAAATGTTTTCTGCCAGTTCGTTATGCACACCGTCTGGACGGCTCTGTTTCAGGACGCGGTGGTGACCTCGGGTGACGTCGGTCCACCGCTGCCGGTCACCTCTGCTCTGCAGTGTGCCGCTCTCTGCGCCCACCCGGCCCGCTGCTCCGCCGCGCTGCTGACCCCGCCCCCGCTGACCCCGGCTGAGACGCCGGCGGGGTCAGCCGGGGTCACAGGCTCGCCGCCAGACCGCCACTGCCGGCTGGTCGGCGATGGACAGTTCACGGTCACCGTCCGCGGGCCCGGCTCCGACCCCGAGTGGCTGCTGCTACCGGTGCTCTGAGCCAAGGACTGCGACAACGACCTGCTGCCGCTGTAAATGTTCCTGCTATTGGTGCTGTTCTTATTGCTGCTGCTGCTGCTGCTGCTGCTGCTGCTGCTGCTGCTGCTACTGCTGCTGCTACTACTGCTGCTGTTGGTGGCCAGAGCAGCCTGGCCCGAAGCTCATGTTGCTTTCGGTGCTCTGAAGGCACAGCCCATGCAGGGTGGCGCAAGAGATTATTGAAGATGTGCAGGTTTTAGCTGTTATGTTTGTCCATGCAGGGACCGGGCACCCTGAGCAGTAAAAAGGGGTTTAAAGGTAGGGTTAGTGTCATCACGTCACCGTGTCACTCTATGTCACCTTCGGTTGATTAAATGACGTCAGCTTCACATAGCGATCTCCGCATGTCTTACTTTTGCCTCCCGCCGATAGCAGGGCCCGTGGCGCCGGCGCGTGATGCGCCGCGCCGGCCAATTTGCCGAGGGCACACTCGAGGGCTCGAGTGGCGCGCCGCTGCTGATGGCGGGCGATAAAGGCGCGCCGCCCGGACGGAAAATGGCGCGCCTCTTGACACCGCGCGGCGCGAGACATTCCCGCAACGGTGAGCGAGAAGAAAATAGATAGGAAAGACGCGAAGGAGAATGACGAGGAGTGAGTGAGTTAGTAGAGGAAAATGAGAAGAATTGGCACAGCGATAGACATCACGCGGGACCCAAAACGTTGGATTTTAATATGCATATTTCATTACTTAACTTGAGCATTCATTCTGCTCTTTCCGTTTTACTGCTGCTTTGTTTTATAAAATGAAGTCGTATGAAATGGAACCAAACTGCCTTCAAATACCTACCAGCTCCTCAGCGTGTCTGAGAGGGAACCATAGGCGACAGGTAAGCATATAATGTCTCGCAGCTGGGACGTTCCGGGTGCAGTTTAACCCGCGCCCTGCTGGGGGGGGGGGTGTTTGAACACCCCCCCTGTGGTTTTTCGCGAATATCTCAAAAACGGCGGCGCGGAGCGCCGCCGTTTTTGGTACACCTTATCATACATCAATTCTACACATGTTGTGAAAATTTCAGACCAAGGTCATTCAAGGTCAGGTCACCAGGTCACTCGAAGTGACCTCACCTCATAAAAAGTTTCAATGTCTGTCATAGCTACACCGAGTGACCGATCGCTTTGAAACTTTCAGCGATTGCTAAGAGCATTAGCATGTACAAAATGTATATCTCAGAATTTTGATATCGATGACCTAAGGTCAGGTCAATTTTGCGACCTCACCATTATAAGTCAATGGGAGAAAATTGAAATGCGCCTGTTTTGGACGAAAGACATTATAAACACTCCCAAACACTGAATTACAAGTGGTTTAGACACACTGAACATGAAAATGGTGTCTGTGACCCCTGTTTATGCCCTGAGGTCATCTTAGGTCACGAATGGTATCTAACAGTTTTTCGCAAATAACTTTTGATAGAGGCATGCTAGAGCGATGAAAACGCCTTAGATGTGTTCAGCTCGACGATACAGATCGACTGATATGCAACATGACCCTTTCCGGTCAGGTCATGACCTTGACCTGAGGTCAAATTTTCAAGTTGACCTTTCAAGGTCAAATTATAGTTCGTTCGATGGGTCTTGACGAGAGGAACACGATGCCGGTAAAAGTAAGCTCGTACAATGCTTGGGTCAAAAGTTATTGCAGAAAAACTGTTTCCGAAAAAATCGGCTATTTTTGCAGTTTTTGCCCCCTGCAGGCAAAACCGTTGACGTTAGGTCAAATCTTAGAAAATTACTCAGAAAGGGCGTTAATAGGGCTATCGAATGCGCTTTTCCGCGGCGCTGTAGCTCTATTGGTTCCCGAGTTATGCGTTGGCTTCTTGGAAATTTTCGACATTCGACCTGGAAATCGGCGAAAATTTGCCTTCAATGACCTCTGGTGACCTGACCTTTGACCTGACCAAAAAATTGACCGAAGTGATTTCCTCATTATTTTTGACGCTCTTTCGAACGCCGCCTTCCGCGTATCGCTACGTGGCCCAGGAGCCGAGTTAGAAGGGGGGGTGTTCAAACACCCCCCCCAGCAGGGCGTGGAAATCCAGGACCCCCAGCCGGGCGCGGGTTAATCTGATGAACAGTTTGGGAGATATTCTCGTCCAGCTCATAGCGAATCCGGCTAATGTGATTCAATCAATTTTCTGGTTCATGCAGATGGCGGCAAAGACTGATTGGCTGCCAGCAGTCCAGTGATGCACATGCTCACTTCTCGGCCGCAATTTACCTCGTTATTGCTCAATAAAGGGTGATATAGCCTCTGTGTATCATCGTAATAACGATCCAGTCCTTCCGGAGCTCCGTACACGGTCAAATGCCTTCGATATAGATGGCATTGCAGGGTACATTATTGCAATATCAGTTCACCACTACTCTGTAAGAATGCTGGTTATTGCTTAATTGTTTTTTGAATGACCTCCTTACAAAATTATACTTTTCATTCATATATTTTTGTACACAAAAAATACATGAATGAATGGTATTATTTTGTAAGGAGTTCATTCAAAAACAATTAAGCAATTTAAATGCCTTACATTCAGCAAGCACTAAATGAATTAAGAAACGCTGGTTATTCACACATATTCTGTCCTAATTTTATGATGAATTTTATTTATGTTATTTAATGAATTTAATAAAAGGAATTGTAATGCACATTCAAATGAGTCTTAAGCGTGAACAAAACTTAGAAGTAGTTTGACTTATAATCAAAGTGATCCAAGCGACAATTCATAGTGCTAGCTCGCTAAATTTTCTCCATCGATTTACCATTTTAGGGAGAGAACAATTTGACCACTTCCGCACTGAATCTGAGGTCGATCATATACCCGACGATCATTCTACACATGATCTGTTCGTCTGCCCCCGGGGTATCTTTCCGCTGGTCCACCAATGGGAGGGGGCGCGGCACCCGCTGCCTCTCCTGCGGGCGGGCGGGCGCTCCTCCCGGCCGCCCCAGACGATATAAGGCGGTGCGGCCGGCGGCAGTCCGCGCAGGCCGAAGGGCCCGGCGGCGGGCGGCGGCTGCGGGCAGGCTCTCCGGAGGAGACGGTATGGAGTGCCAGAGAACGCCACCTCGACCCATCTGACGCCACCGGCACTGGTGAGTGGCCGACCACCTGTTGGAGGGTGTGTACTGTGTAACACATCGGCCTGTATTATTGTTCGTGATATTTTCGTATTCATTCTCGTTGCCAAGGCCGCGTTTTTGCGAAATGATTATTAACTATCGGTTAAGCGATCATGCATGATACAGTTTGTTTGAAGACTCAGTTTATTTGTGTATGGCAGAAAAATCTTCCATTCTTTGGACAGCAGGAAAGCTTCGAAAATGGCAGAAATGTGTATTTATTAGCCCAAGAGCCGCTGGGGGGGGGGGCATAAAGTTGCCCCCCTTACGTTTTTTGCGGGATATCTCCGAAACCTGATAAGCTACGAACTTGAAACTTAGCATAGCTTTAAATCAAAAGTACCTTGGCCATATTTGAGGACAGATTGGTGGTAGCTCTTACGATGATGTCACAGTGACGTCATAAAGTTTTGTAGTCTTCCAATATGGGGCGTTTCTGAAGTCGCTGAACATGAAACGCAACTATAAGTGAACTAGACATCACCTGCTGTCATCCTTATACATCTAAATACACTTTCAACTAGTTCCTGACCAATAGTCGGTCCTTTATATTCGGTACCATGTATCGAATATATCGTAAAAAAGTAAGGGTCGCAAACCTATGATTTGACTTCTGACGTCACTGTGACGTCATTTTAAATGGGATCGAAACCAAATTTGGATACAACTTCGCCTAGGTATTCAAGATTATGTGTGCAAAGTTTCGCTTCTCCATCTCTTCGCGTTGCGACATCGTCGCAGAAGTAATGGAGGGAGGGGTAACTATGTGACTCTCCAGCGGCCGGAGGGTGGCGCGGAGGCCCAGCGGCCGCCGGTTCATGCTACCACCCACAAATTGATCCTGTATAACAATCGATATAATAATCAATTGATTAAACTCAAGATACAATTAAGACAATTAGACTACACCTAACCGTGATTTATCTGATTATAAGCCAATGATCCCTCATGATTTTCACTATGTGCAGGCACCGCGGCATCAAGTAAGCTATTTTAATGTTACTGCTATTTTTACTTTAATGGTGGATTAGAATAACAAACTAACGCATCCTTTTATGAGAATATAGCCCAGCCCAGGGGCGGATCCAAGGGGGGGGGGTCACATGGGTCATGGCCCCCCCCCCTTGAGGCCCGGGGGCCCAAAGACCTGCCAGGGGCACCACCGGCCTATCAGGGGTATCACAGTCCTGACAGGGGCACCACAGGACCGCCAGGGGCACCAAAGGCCTAGCAGGGACACCACGGGCCTGGTGCCCCTGGGCCCTGACAGGATTGTAACGCCCCTGACAAGCCTGAAGTGTCCCCGGCAGGCACGTGGTGCCCCTGACAGGCCTGAGGCGCCCCTGCAAGGCCGGTGGTGCCCCTGGCAGGCCTGTGGTGTCCATGGCAGGCCTGTGGTGCCCTTGCTAGGCCTCTGGTGCCCCTGACAGGCTTGTAATGCCCCTGGAAGGACTGTGGTGCCCCTGGGCCCTGACAAGCCTGAGGTGCCCCTGACAGGCCAGTGGTGCCCTTGCTAGGCCTGTGGTGCCCCTGACAGGCCTCTGGTGCCCCTGACAGGCTTGCGGTGCCCTTGGAAGGACTGTGGTGTCCCTGGGCCCTGACAAGCCTGAGGTGCCCCTGACAGGCCCGTGGTGCCCTTGTTAGGCCTGTGGTGCCCCTGGCAGGCCTCTGGTACCCTTGCTAGGCCGCTGGTGCCCCTGGCAGACCTCTGGTGCCCTTGCTAGGCCGCTGGTACCCCTACGCCCGGAGAGGACTGGTGCCCCTGAAAAGTCTGAAGTGCCCCTCGGCAGGCCCGCGGTGCCCCTGACAGGCCCAAGGTGCCCCTGCGAGGCCGTTGGTGCCCCTAGCAGACCTCTGGTGCCCCTGGCAGGTCTGTGGTGCCCCTGGCAGGTCTGTGGCGCCCCTGGCAGACCTGTGTTGACTGGTGCCCCTGCTAGGTCGCTGGTGCCCCTCACAGACCTGTGGTGCCCCTGGGCCTTGATAAGCCGGAGATGCCTGGCTATGACAGGCTCGTGGTGCCCCTGATAGACCAGTGGTGCCCTTGCTAGGCCTGCAGTGCCCCTGGCAGGCCTCTGGTGCCCCTGCTACCCCTGCGCCCGGAGAGGACTATGGTGCCCCTGAAAAGCCTGAAGTGCCTCTCGACAGGCCCGTGGTGCCCCTGGGCCTTGACAGGCCCAAGTTACCCCTGCGAGGTCGGTGGTGCTCCTGGCAGACCTCTGGTGCCCCTGGCAGGTCTGTGGTGCCCCTGGCAGGCCTGTGTTGACTGGTGCCCCTGCTAGGCCGCTGGTGCCCCTCACAGGCCTGCGGTGCCCCTGGAAGGACTGTGGTGCCCCTGCCCCTAGGGGTGCTCATGGGCCCAACAGGCCCGTTGTGCCCCAGACAGGCCTGTCGTGTATACTTGCTAGACCTGCGGTGCCCCTGCTTCCTGGCAGGCCTGTGGTGCCCCTGGCGGGCCTGTGGCGCCCCTACAAGACCGTAGGTGCCCCTGGCAGGTTTGTGGTGTCCCTGGAAGGACTTTGGTGCCCCTGACAAGCCTGAAGTGTCAAGGACAGACCCTTTAGACGCCAGGGTCAAGTTCGTCGGACTGACAACGATTTGCTTACCTGATAACGTTCCTGGTAAGTACTCATTACTCAGCGTCCACAACATATATACACATAGCACATTCATATATACTTGCTTACAATTGGTAAATGTGGTTGTGGCTAAGAGTTAAGATACTGACAAAAAAAAAGAAAAAGAAAAAAACTGAAAATGGGGGCACCACCAAAATGAAGTGGACGAAATCCGTTGAGTTTTTAATTTTGGGTATAGGTAGGGGCACCACTTCGATTCATGACCCTCCCCTTGGAGTTTTCCTGGATCCGCCCCTGGCCCAGCCTCTTGACTGCTGACATACTCGTATAACCGCCTTTTGCGGCAATAACGGCCTCGAATCAAAGGCATATACCTCACAGATTCGTATGATGTCGATCAGCTTCTAGGCTCCCAGCCCCTGAAATGCAGAGGTCTGAGCAGCTCCTGGCTAGAATGAGAAGTGGCCTGTACCTGAATCAGAAAGCCTCATCCTGGAACGCATGCCACACGCTATAATCGAATCAGATGAGTCGGGCATATGAGGTGACCGCATTTTATTTGTCAAAAGTGCTCTGGTCAACTAGCTCTTCTTTCCGCATCACTTAGATAGTAATCTGGACGTGTGCCTCTTCCTCTCAGAAGATACAGTGCGCAGCGGGCAGATCGGCTGATACTGAGCATGACGCGCGCGTCCAGAACCGACCTACTGATGACGAAGCTTCGGAGATCCACCCATGGATTTTTCTTGTCCCTGGCATCGATGAGGATATGGGGTATTTTTGTCCGTCGCATCGGATCTATTGGATCGGATTGGGATTATCGCCTTATTCATTGCATTACATAACCTCGGCCAATGCTCTGACTTACAATGGAAAAGAAGTTCTAGATATATCTCAACACCAGTCTAAAACAAATTTATAGATAGTGGCAGCTTCGCGACAACTCTTCTATCGATTTTATGTTCAAATAATAATCAGGATGACATAGGACTGACCGGTCGCTATGGCAGTGAGAAAAATTTGGGCCCCGTACATATAGGAGTACATCCTTCAGGCTAATCTGCGGCCTGACCTGACTAACCTGCGGACTGACCTGACCACGTCTCCGGGTCGAGTCCTGTGGGACCCCCAGACTGATCCGGGCCGATGGAGGCGTATTGATCGCGGTCCGCGGGGAGACCGGCCGCACGGGCTCAGATCTGTTTTTGTCACGCACACTCCTCCCCTGCGGAGACGAGAGGATGCCCCCGGGATGGACCGAACGTGACCAAAGGAGTCCCGGAGCGCCGGTCATCGGGAGCTCAGGCGCGCCGTGAGAACGACATGGGTGCAGAGGAGTATGGCATACCTTACTATATGCGGGTAGTGAAGTAATCTTGATATGCGGTGTAAGCGAACTTTTCTTGTATTTGAACGTAGGTAAAAAAATGGTAGGTATCCCGTATCCAGCTCTGTGCCGTTAAAAAAGCAATGGAGTCACGTCACCTATGTGATAAGGGGTAATTGGTGTGACGTGTGAAGTTGTCAAGAAGCAGGCTGGCTTGCAAATGGTGAGGCTCAGCAAAATGCAGGGTTGCAGCTCTAAAAGCTCGTTGCTAAAAAGCACTTTCAAATGTTGATTGCCAATTCCAGTGTTTTTTCCCAACTATCGATTCACTGGATCGCATCACCAGAATACCGGAATCTAAACACATTGCCACCAAAACTGACGCTAAGGCCCCGATCGTTACGCCCCCCTCGAGTCACTAGCCTGGAGGACGTTCGTGGGTAGATTTGGCGGACGGACGTTGGCGTACGCTGGCGGACGTACATCGATGGACGTTGGCGGACAGCGGCAGACGTTGGCGGACGGACGTCGGCCGCCGTGTCCGGACCGTCCGGCCCAGGTGCTCGCTCCTGCTATCTGCCGGAGGCGCCCCGATAAATCTACCCGGCGGCGGCACTCAGACTTTGTAATGACGCCGGTATCTTCGCCGCCGCCGCCGCGCCGTTTCTCGCCGCCATTGGAATTGTAGATGACGCCGGCCGGCCGCCCGCTCTTCTTGTGCAGCCTGTTGCGTAACTGACGGAAGGGCGGACACCACTGACCACACCCAGGCCTAACAGCACAGGAGTCGCTGGGTGAAGTACTGTGATATCGGGCACGGCAGCACGGCCAGAGTTTGTCGGTCTTCGACCGGTGTCAGCTGGTGACTCTGAGAAAGGTGTATGGAATGCTATGATGTAATGACTAATGAATGCAGTACATACTCATAGCGGTCCTGTTGGTGGTGGCATGAGGCAGTGCCGAGTACGCAAAGGCCCGGCGGTCTCAAACATTTTATTGGGACGCATGGTATCATCTGGCAAGTTTCATGACAAAATGTAGGCATGTGTCACTATGTATACATGCAGAGAAAAGACAAACTTGGGAGATGGCCAAAGGTTCCCCTCAAGGATTGCCCTATAGCGGCCAAAGCTTATTTATCACAAATGTTTTCGACGCCCAAACACAAACGTCGCAAGCCACGACAGAATCCCGCAAACACAATGTATTTTTCCGTCATATGTCACTCCGACACCACACTCGGGCACGGCTCGTATCCTCCACAGAGACGGGCGAGCACGTCTCGCCCTGCAGAGCTAACACCGGGTGTGGACAGAGGCACACGAGCCGAGTCGTCCCCACCGCCGACCAAACAAACGCCGCTCGTCACCTAACTTGTGCCGGCGCGGCGCGCACACCTGATTAGATTTCCCACAAACAGCGGCGGCCGAAAGCCGAGCCGGCGCGCGTGACTCCGCCGAGCGGCCGTCGGCCCGGGCGGCACGTCGACCTGTTGACGCCGACTCCTCCAGCCGCCGCCCCCGCCCCCGCCCGGCCGCCGCTCGCCGTCGAGAGGAGCGGTGGATCGTTATCTATGTCGTTACGCCGGCCCCGGTCCGGGTCGGCCGAGATCCGCCGTCTCAGATCGATGTTCAATTCGGCCCGTCAGCGAGCGACAGATTTTACCGGCCCACTCGGGGGCTGGGGGGGGGGGGTCGGGGCAGGGCAGGGCTGGGGCCGACAGCCGCCACAAATGTACCGGACGCTGTGTGCTTTAAGTTCCGCCGGCACAGCGCTGCAATGCTGGCCGAGACGTGACATGAACAGACAGGCTTGGGTAGCTACTAGCCGTTTTCACGACGGGCTAGCTGGCGAATGCACCTAATTTGACCAAATATGTACCCAATCTCTTTTACGGCAAATATCTTTAATTTATGAATTCATTTAAGTGTTTTAGTCGATGATAACGTCTGATAGTATGACAAAGAAGGCATAATAAGCGATTAGTGCAGCCCTAGCTAATAGCAACGAAGAAACACACTGAACCTAATTTGACCAAATCTGCACCAAATGTGTACCAGGTGGCCGTCGTAAAAACGACTACCTTAACTAGTTAGTCTTGTCAGTTCAGTCGGAACAGGAAGTGACTACCTATCCTGAACCGGATCCAGTTGGAGCAGCCGGAAGTCCAGCGGTCCAAACTATGCAGCTCCTGTCAGTACCCGGCGCTGGTAGTAGTTAGTCCAGCGGTCCAAGCTACGATTACCTATCGGGGACCGGTCCCCGCCGGAGCAGTGGGCGCTGGCGGCAGTCGGGCGAGAGGTCCGAGCTGTACGGTCTCCGTCAGCAGCGTACGCTGGCCGCAGTCGGCCGAGAGGTCGTTATCGTTGTCCTGGGAGCCGTGGTTCCGACCGAGCGCTGATTTATGTGGAGAGACCGGTCGGCGCGGAGGGCGCGGTGCGAGTCCGTACGTGACTGGTGGGTCGTCTCCTTCGGGGACAGAGGAATGCGCAGTCGTGTATGACGACGCGGTAGATAGTTAAAAGCTTCCGATCTGTCTGATTTATGCTTCACAATTACGTATATGATAGTTCTAAAACACATCACCATGACAAGAGAAAACGGCCGATGTTTCACCAACAGAATGTGCCTGGCTGTTTGGCGTGTTCTCCTACCCAGCTGATGACGCAGATGACTGTCGTTCGGACACTGTCGCTCTGACACTGTCGCTCTGAGACCGTTTCTGCGCGCGTGCTGCAGGTGACGCGGCGTGCGGACGCCGGCTAACGATGGGCGTACTGGACGAGCAGAGCGGCTTCCTGCAGCGATGTCGGGAGTCGCGCAAACTGGTGCTCATCATCGTGGCCATCGCGCTGCTGCTAGACAACATGCTGCTCACCACCGTCGGTAAGAGCCGCTGCTGCTCACCGGGGCAGCTGCTGCTCAGTGCTCACCACCGTCGGTGAGTGAGTGCAGAGTGGTAGGCCAGACCTGCTTTTTAGACAGAGCAGCAGCTCAAACTCAGCTCAGTGGAATAATCAGGCAGTTATAATTAGTGTTTACTGTTTATCATCCCGCATACTTTTTGCCTGTTCAGTGTTTCCTCAAGAGTCCAGTTTATCTGAGCGTTCTCTTACCGGATTTTGTTTGCCGCCCCGTCCCGTTCTGTGCGACAGTCCCCATCATGCCCGAGTTTCTGTACGTGCTGCACCACCGGAACGACGGCCTGACGACCACGACCGTCGAGCCGCCGCTGCCACCGACCACCACTGAGGGCCCAGTGACGTCACGCGCCGGACCGGTGACGTCAGCGGCGCTGGTGGTGGGCTGCAACTGCACCCGCAGCCAGCTCGGCCTGCCGCCAGACGATCCCGGCGGAACGCCCAACGACTGGCCGCAAGGTACTCATACCTGCAGTACACTGGCTTAGCGAGGCATGAATTGAGTTTCTGGGGCGAAATTGTTACTTCTTTATCTGTCTAGAATCTGTACTAGCTTGTATTCATTTGTAGAATACGATTGATAAATTCCTGCACAATTTCTTAGTCATAATGAGTTGACCGAATCCATCAGGATATAAATCCCAAACTACCCCAGGGTTGACCGGCTCGCGGGTCCTTACTGCCCTCGGGTGTCCCTCTCAAATAAGCCACCGTCCCGCTCCCGAGCTCTGATTGTCATGTCCCTCTCAGATGAGCCCCCGTTCCCTCCAGCGCCCTGGCTCATGATTGCCTCGTTGCCCGCTCTCAGATGAGCCGTCGAGCAGCTGGCCGCCGTCCACCTCCCCGGCCACTACCACCCTCAGCGCCGAGGAGCTCAAACACAGAGAGCTGGTCGAGGAGAACGTCGAGGTGGGCGTCATGTTCGCCTCCAAGGCGGCCGTCCAGCTCATCACTAACCCGTTCGTGGGTCCGCTGACCAACAGGTGAGCAGGGCAGACCAACAGGTGAGCAGACCAACAGGTGAGCAGAGCAGGGCAGACCAACAGGTGAGCAGAGCAGACCAACCGGTGAGCAGACCAACAGGTGAGCAGAGCAGACCAACAGGTGAGCAGACCAACAGGTGAGCAGAGCAGGGCAGACCAACAGGTGAGCAGAGCAGACCAACCGGTGATCAGACCAACAGGTGACAGAGCAGACCAACCGGTGAGCAGACCAACAGGTGAGCAGAGCAGACCAACAGGTGAGCAGAGCAGGGCAGACCAACAGGTGACAGAGCAGACCAACCGGTGAGCAGACCAACAGGTGAGCAGAGCAGACCAACAGGTGAGCAGAGCAGGGCAGACCAACAGGTGAGCAGAGCAGACCAACAGGTGAGCAGAGCAGAGGCCTCTTGCACCAAAATCCTCTTGCGCCAATGCTTGGATTATTTTGCATCGCACACCCAGTCCAAGTCTCAAATGTAACAATTTACGTGCAAAATTGAGCAAGCACATGTAGGATTATGTATGCGCTATTGCAAACAAATTTACCATCATTAGATTAGCTTATTCTGAAACCGGTTTTTCAATTTTACCTAGCTAGGTAGTTTGGTGCAAGAGGCCTCAGGGCAGACCAACAGGTGACAGGGCAGACCAACAGACAGAGCAGACCAACAGGTGACAGGACAGCCCAACCGGTGAGCTGAGGTGGACTCCTCTTGTGTCAAAGAGGGGTTGGAGGAAGCCTTACCGCGGTGTGGGACAGTAGCGGCAGTGGTAGACTCGCGGCAGAAGTTAGAGACGGCTCAAATCATGAAATAATTTGCACAAACTATATACAGCCCTCTGTCCGTCTTTTTTCCTCCGAGTTAGGAGTTCTGACATTTTTCGATTTTTCGGTAGGGAGTACAAACAAAACTTTTCGCCTTCCCTCCCTTACCGCTGAAACGCTCCAGCATTAACCCTATTAGTGGCAGGCTCCTGGCTACCCCCTATTAGTGGCAGGGGGGGGGGCTGTTTACGACCCCCCCTTGATATCTCGAGATCTAACGGGCCGATTTTCAAAATTCAAACGGCATTCGATTTCGCTCAACGCGATCTACATTTCTAAAACATAAAAATTAAAAAATGTCAATAGGGGGGGGGGGGTACAGGGGGGTAAAAACGGGCAAATTGCAGATACAATTTACAATTGGCCGTGACTGTTTATCACGGCCAGGTTTCTGAACCAATCTTAACGCAACTTTTGCCAATCGATAGAGAATGAACCAGGAATTCACATGGATCCTAAAAATATGCATTTTCAAAAATCATAGGCGGATACAGATCATTGAGATTGGGGGTACACAAAAAGTATAGTAAATAAGGTTTTTGTTGGTACTGTTTCTAAAAAGGGTGGTAATGGTCTTGTTATGTTACAATTTTCTTATGAGAGAACGACTACAATTGTATTGGTCATGCATAGGCGGTGTCAGGGCACCTATGTTGGGAGGTAAAACATAACCCCCCTTTTTGGACGCCTGGATCCGCCTATTATAGCAAAAACGTGTCAAAAGAGGATGCACAATAACTTTGTATATGTTATCACATGATACCTTTCATTCACTGTTCGTAAAACTGGTGCAGCATCGTGATCTTCGCCCAAATGACTCGCTTCACGAATAGGACCCCCAATTCCCAGTGCTCTGGAGCCGCCCCTGGTAAAGTTATGAACTTGAAATTTTCAGGGAATGTGCCCAATTTAGTTTTAGGAAAAGTCATAAAATTTCAGCATCGTAGCTTCAGCGGTTTCGGAGATATTCCCGAAAAACCTGAGGGGTGGATAAAAACAACCCCCCTGCCACTAATAGGGTTAACGTCCAGACTGCTGATCTTTAGCCATCCTCGTCACTCCCATTTGTCGTTCAGTGCCCATTAGTTGCCGCGGCCTGCGACTGATCATAGGGGACTGTTTATTCCCACCCTCCCGTGGCTCGGCCATTGTTTTGCCGCGGTGCCTCCATGCTCCGGTTGTCACGCGTCGGACGCGTGAGTCGCCCTTTCCTGGTAGTTGTCATGACCTGTCTGGCGGTCGTCCGGTCATGCCCAGTCGCCGTGGCGCGTCCTCGGGACCGTCTTCTGCGCCTCATCGGTGCACACACGCGCCAGCATCGATTCTCGCTGGATGATTGGACCGACGGCCGATAGGCCTGGACGGACGGCGACCGACCCCATGTCACTGCGTTAGCGGGTCCGATGTGACTCTGTTCTAGGGATCATAGGGCGAGATGTAGAGTCGAAGGAGAATGCACGTCATCTTAGCATTGCAGCAATTGAGATAAGTTCAGAATGCAAATTTATCTGTTCGTAAGTGCGCTTGATTCGAAAAGATGCGTTGTTTATTTATCAAAAACACTTCTCCCCGCCATTGCAGTAGTTGCGGAACTTCTTGTAGTCGCATAATGCTCAAGCAGCGCCGCTGTTACAAATGCTACTGAGAAACGTTTAGCGGTGTCGTGCGCACGCGCCGAGACGGCCCGGCGCCCCTCCTTAGCAGCTCGACAGCGCTCACGGCGACAGTCGCCCGGGGCGAACAAAGCCGACACTTAACTCCGCGGCGGCCCTTTGTCGACGGCCGGCAAAGGCTCAATCAGAGGCGGCGACCACTTCTAGTGGGTGCTGGTCCAGACGCAGCGGCCGCCGACTGGCGATACTAATGTGGGACAGAGTGGCCGGCGGTGGGATGGGAACTGATTTTCGACGGCAGCTTGTGAGTCTCATTTCCAACAAGGCAGATAGATATAATCGGCAATGTGATGTCAAATACTCAAGATGGATGGCTATAATTGTTCGTCGCTAAGTTACTTTGCGAATGGAGAGGGACAAGAATATGATAGCAATCGTTCCCGAGCTTTAAAACACGCTAGCAGTACAAATCGCACAAATATCTCATACCTATTTGAGCTGGAGTCCCAAGAACAATAAAAATTAATGCAGCGCGCGCGCCCTGCGGACACCCAGCCCACTTGGTGGGGTTAATAGGCACCAGTTCCGGGCTCCAGTGGCCCCGCTATCTCGTCATCATCCGATGCGCCCGGCTTCCGGCGCCGTTATTGGGCGCTGCGCTGTTTATTTTCGTCGCTCTCAAGCCGTTCACCCAGCGAGCGGCGCGCTAACGACATTCCCGGCGCTCCGGCGACGTGCGGCGGCGCGCCGTCGGTCGCGGCGCGGGCCGCCTCTAATGGAGATCGCTCGTCACCGCGCCGCCGCCGCCGCCGTCCGAATGCACAAGCGGGCGGGCCTTTGAGCCCGGCGGCCGGTCGCGGTGCGGTATTGATGCGGCTGACCGGGCCGGCATGCAGAGTGGGTTCGTCCCCGCCACCGGTACCCACCGCCCGGCTGCGGCCGACAGCGCAATATCAGCCGCTGGGGCCGGCTCGTACCGAGTCTGACAGGGCCCGGCGTCCCGTACCGGGGATCCGGAGATAAACCCCCACTGGAGCGACACGGTCTTGATGCATCGTGCATGACAGCCCAATGTGAATAGTAAGCCATAGGCGGTTGGGATGAAGTTTTAGATACCTCACATCCTTTTGTCATGCCGCATGCTTGCATTGTCTAATGTCAAGACTTCATTTTCATGACGTCAAGTTTAAACTTCTTCGGACGACATCCGTTCCCACGTTCCGCGCTTCTTCCCAACGCGGAGCAGGAATAACTGATTGCTTATCCATCAGTGATGTTATGCGGAGGCTTCAGAAGTGGGCTCGCCTTTGGAGGCAGTTACGTAACCGGTGCTGACTGGCCACAGTACCTTACCTATCACTCAAGTTTATCACTTCTTTTTATATATTTGAGGCAGACTACTCAAGCACGACAAAATTGGGCATAAAATGTGGTTTCTGGCTTACTGAAGGCCAAGTATTATTATCACATTCCCGTAAGGTTTATCGCTCGAAGGCGCTGGAGACTCGCTAAAATGCATACTTGGCTAAAAGCCCGTGCGGACCAATAACTCGTCCAAACCACCGAAGCACTAACGGCATTGCTGTGAGTCAAGGTCACACTAAAACATAAACACGCCTGAGGTAGCGGAGGCACTCCCTTTTTCAAGGAATTGTCGAGAGAAAGCTGCGAAGATTTAGTAATCAATGGATATTTGATAACTTTTTACGGCGATTGTATAGATAATGTGTAACTATATAAATGACGATTCCCAGCAACTCGATCTCGCGTCCGACCCCTGCGTCTGACCCGTGGTTCTGTGACCCCTCCTTCCCTCGTGGACCGGAGGATCGCCGCCGTCAGAGACCCGTCCGCGGCCAACGAGTCCACTTAGCTAGTCCGCGGCCCTGATCAATGTCCGAGCAGTGACCCGAGAGATCGGCACGGACCGCAAAAACGGCAGCCATTGTGGACAGCTCGGTAAATCAGCGATGCAGGCATGTCGCGAGGTCGCCAGGGTGGGACGCGACCCGGCCTAATTATGGTGATTTATGCGGCGATCTGCACTAATGAGAGAAACGGCTGATGAATTGCCGATTCTGATTGTGCTTAACGAAGTCAGTGTACGGGGTGCATGACATATTCTCTGGTCGGAGGCAGCTGGAGGAGATTTAATCGATCACATTTGTACTAAATCACAGGTCTCATTTTGAGTTCCTTAAGCTGGAATAAAACCGAGAAAGAGGAGCAATATGAAGCACACAATGGGGTTGGATGCATTCTTTTAATGGCCACATGAAAAATAGATGGATCTGGTTTTCCAGAGCAGTGTACTACATAAGCGAATATTGATAGGTACTGCCGAAGGGGTAGACGGTCAAGGTATCAGCGCCCGCATCACCGTTTGTTTACCAAGGTCCCCCACGCTCGCAGCGCCACTGCGCCTTGTTTTGACGCGTTCGTATCCACTAGAAACATAATATTCTGCACCGTTCTCATCTAGGTACTGTTCGATAAACCGTATGTTCATGTGGAATCGTGGATGAATATTGAAGATGAATATTGCAGAAAATGTGACGGTTTGGTGATTTTCCAGGACAATCAGAGCTTCATGTTTACCAACTGAGTCATATCAGCGAGTACGTCATAGTCGAGCCGCACTAGCGCCTTAGTGATCCTTTCGTGAGTATTGTCGAAATCGAAGGAGAACTGACTCGGGCGAATCCTGTTGCAGGATCGGCTACAGTATCCCGATGTTCGCAGGCTTCGTCATCATGTTTCTCTCCACAATAAGTAAGTAGGTACCTACATTGACATAAACGTATTTGGTTTATCTTACCATAGAGATCTTATATACATAGAGATGACACGCCTATGTTAAAGCACTTGATTTCGTGGCGATTCAGTGGGTCTTTTTAAGCAAGGTTTTCTGGGGTGCCATGGCCCGTGACTTGCATTTTACAAGGATTCGGTCAAGCAGATTGTGTTCACATCCGTTTATTTTTAAGTACAGTTTTTCCTTTTTGTCTAGCTGTGACGCTTTCGAGCGTTATTATTGAAATGATATTAGGCATGTTTTAACCTTATGCTCGTATCAGGTACATGTATGTATCATCTATCTGCATGTATCATTAACCCTCGCCGTCCGACGGGGGGGGGGCGGGTGCCGCCTCCCTATAGGTTTTTTTTTCACGATAGCTCCGAACACGCAGGCGATAGACAGCTGAAGCTTGGCATAGCTGACCTTTGATCCAAGTCGCATCTTGTGACACCAACCGCATTTTCAGGTCAGGTCAGGTCACTGACCTGTGACGTCATATGTGAACCTCTGCATAGTCCTCAGATGTCGCAACTTCGCAACGCCGTCAGTGCCAGAGGAACTTTCACAGGGAGGTGAAACTTACAGGATTTAGTGTCATCCAGAGGTCTCACAACTTGTACATATATCTCGGATTTTCCCTAAAAATCACATGAGGTCAGGTCGGCCACGTGACCTCACCATTAGGTATAAGTCAATGGGGAAAAATGAAAACTGCTATGTTAGCGCCGAGAACTATCTCTGTCTCCAGCACATGGAATCGTGATTTCTTTCACGCCTTGCAAGGTCCGATGCTTCACTTTTGCATTGTTGACATTGCGTGGCGTCATTTATGGTCACTTGGGTCATTGATTAAAGAGAGCGCGGTTTTGAGGCTCATGATTACATATATAACTGCAATGAAAACCGTAAGACGGTTTGACAAAAGTCAGTTTGTCAGTTTGCCCAGCATGTCTTATTTTCTTGGCCCTATTTTTAATATAATTATTAGCATGAGGCTTACGGTTTTCATTGCAGTTATATACTTGGGTCATTAGAGTTTGTCATCAATAACTCCCCATCAAATTGAGTTAGCGAGTCGGGAAAGCCACCAATAAACTCAGGAAGACCTGCCGATTCGAGTAATATGTAACATGACCTCTGTCAACCAGCTTCGTGATCTGGGGGAGCTGACCTGCCCTTGACCCGAGGTCAACACCTCAAGTTGACCTCACCCGAACAAAAAGTATACCATTCGACGCGCCTTAGCAAGGCGAACACCAACACGATGATGCCAAAATCGCGGCTCTCCGACCGTTTTTTTTTTTTTTTGCGAAGTTATGAAAAACTGAACCCTGGCCCTTGGTCACTTGACCTGACCTCAAGAGACCTTAAAATCGGGTACCAGTACCTGCGTCTTGTAACGGCGCACACGCTTGTTTTTTCCGCGACGCTCTAGCTTCATCAGGGGCGAAACGGCGAGGGAAATCGTACCAACTCCCCCCCCCCCCCCCCCCCCGGCCGGCACGTATGTAGTTATTGTACGAGGGGGTATCGAAAAGTTATGATCATCACCATGAATTACATGAGATAGAAATTTGATTTTTTTACATGATGTTCATTACTCCTTTACAAGTCACCACACACGACCGCAAACTTATTGCATCGTTTCTTGAGCTGCCTCAGGCGGTCATTGTGGGACCCTCGCACTGTCCCGTAAATCACTGCTCCACCTGATCAATGACGTCATTTCTGTCCTTAAGTCACCGGCCATACTGTGGATTCTTCATCTGCCGTAACAATCAAGAGTCAGTTAATACCCGGGCAGGTGAATTTCTTAGATGCGGTAGGATTTAATGTCCACTTCATGTTGTTTCTTCGATCGCAGCTCAGGACGACTGGGCGGGGGCGCTGTCAGTGCGGATAAAACATCTTTCTTGGGATTTTTTTTCGGCGATTCTGCTTGAGGCCATCTCACAACGTCTTCAAAAGTGTGCAGTAGTGCTTGCTTATCATTATCCGACCATCATCAAGACAGTCGGTAATGACTATCCTACGCCAGATCCAGATCACTGATAGCATTGACCTTCCATATCGGCTTCTGCATCTTCGCCTTTTAAGAAGGACAGATGTGCCGTGCTTAAACTTCTTGATCATCTTTTTATCTCCGGATCATACACATAGATCCAGCATTCGTCACAAGTCATCAAATGATCGAAGGTGTCTTCAATTTCCTAAAAAAGGCCTAGTTTTCAGTTCGAAAGGCCAAGACGCGTTTTTCTCTTGAACAAAGTAGACACACGAACTTCTAAGCGGGCTGACTCCTTTATCGTCTGTAGTTCTTCGCTGATAATATTTTCAGGCGCTGCCAGCATTGAGACTTTTCTGTTGCACAATCATCTGAAAGGTCACACGACGATCTGTAAGGATGAGGTCCTCCACTTCCTTCACAGTCACCACCTTGTCAGTCACTGGTAGTCACTCACTTTTTGACTCCCCTGCAAGGGCCATGCAACCAAGTTGAAAATTATTTCTTCATTTTCGGTAAGTGCATGAGATGGGCTTTCCTCGCCATAAACTAATTGCACGTTCTTGATGTATTTTCTCAGTGTGATACCGTTTCAAATGGATTAGTTGGATGACGGTTCGGTCCTCAATGGGCCCAATACTCATCTTTTTTACTTCTAAGTCTCTCCTACATAAGATAAAACCACTTCTCAGGATTTTCTTTGCGGGAACATTGTTCTTAAGAACCAAATATAATACCAACCAAAAATCATCAAAATCGGTCTATATCTTCTATGTGATGATCAGAACTTTTCGATACCCCCTCGTAGAAAACCAATAGGTCCGGCCTGCGAGGGTTGATGTGTCATTGAATGGGAACATGCAACATATGTATATTTGAGCTTGCACCGTGCTCAGAAAGGTTCAGAACAGCCGTTTTCACGACGGTTGACCGAAAGCGCCAAACTTGACCAAATCTCAAGGAACCTACCCTGAAAATTCCATGAACCTGACCCAAATGACCTTAGACCTGTAACTTTTTTTTTTGGGGGGGGGGACCATGTCAGCGGGGCCATAAAACATGCATCGCACAACCCTAGTAAATAGTAAAGTTGGTTCATGTGCTGACCCTTGGTGACCTGACCTGTGACCTGACATGGTATTATCAGTGACCTCTAATAGCAACATATATACTAGGCAACGTACGCCCTATTTTTAACGTACGCGAAACATTTTATCATTGACCTGACCTGTGACGTCATCGGTGACCCCGAGGTCAATGAAATTGGAGTTCCATCGACAAATTTGACAGGGCTATCGAACATCGTTTGAATGTTACGGATCCGTCCAGTAGTTTCGGAGATACGGGAGGGGGGCAAAAAATGCCCCCCCCCCCCCACCGCGCGGAAGGTGGCCGGGAGGTCCACCGCCTGCCGGGTTGATGAGAGCCTGAGTGAGAGAGAATCATAGAATGCTTTTAGGCGAGCTTTTAAGGAATTCAATAAAAACACAAAATGAAATCATGCTACAAATTTCATTGCTTACCTAGGAATGAAATCAGCCAGGAAAGATCAGCAATATTTTTAACCAGTAAAACGCCTTTTGGGGCGACCAACGGAGCGAGCGAGAGGGTGGGCCTTGGACAAGCGAATTTGCAAGGGACACCTCCAACTAACTTGTGCACTGCACCCTACTAACCGGTCCCTAGCGATGTGCCAAATTTGAGCGCAATCGGCCTAGCCGTTCTCGAGAATTGGAAGCGGCACCCTGCACGTGCACACGTGCAAAATAGGTCACAACTGACTTTTGCACGGCACCCTACTAACTGGTCCCTAACCATGTACCAAATTTCAGCACAATCGGTTCAGCCGTTCTCGAGATCTGGAATCGACCCCTGCACGTGCGCACGTGCAGCAGCACCCCAACTGTGGCACATGGATATGCATTGCCTAGTGGGTGCCTACCTACATACCAACTTTCAGCGCAATCGGCCAAGTAGTTACCAAGATATTGCAACAATTGCAAAACTGACACCTCTTCGTTTTGCACGTGGCACGTGCATAAGCGGTCACCCACATGCATCGAGAATAGTCCAATACTTGGTAGAAGGAATGAAGCTACCCTAGAAAAATCATCGAATGTAAATCGGTCAAGTGGTTGCTGAGATATAAGCCTCGCAAAAGCGTAACCACAGCCGGCCGGCCGCTCATACTAAGAAATTTCCGTTAATCTACGAAAGACTACGCTTGCTTCGCTCGCTACGTATTAATTTCTTCAGACTAACAATGCCTCAGCCATATTGGCACGCTACTGGCTGAAAATAAGTTGCTTAAAAAGACCCACTGAATCGCCACGATTTTAAGTGCATGTCATCTCTATGTATATAAGATCTCTATGTATCTTACAGCATGTTGTCAAAATAAACCATACCCATTTATCAGGCTCAGCATCGATTCATATCGAACTGTCTTATCTGGGCAGTTCATAGTTCGTTACATATTTAATTAAAAATTCCTGACACAAATGAGGCAAAATTTGTTTTTACCTCGAACATATATTTAACCCTCGCCCGTAAACGGCGATCTGCCACCTTCGCCCATGCAGGGGGGGGGGTTGGTGCGACCCCCCCTTGGCGTTTGAAAACGGAGCGTCGTAGAGCTTAGCGGAAAAGATCAACGGATTGCTCTCGCCGAGATCTCGCGATTGGTGGTATATTTTTTGGTCCTAGGTCAACATTTGACCTACTTTTGACCGGTCATAGGTCAAATTTTCGGAAAAATAAACTTTTTTTCAAATTTCCGCGGCGATTGCGGCAAAACGGTGGGAGGTATCGACTTGAAACCTTCACTATCGTGTTCCTTGATCAATTCTCTATCGTTTGGTATGTATGTCGTTTCCCTAGCTCTAAAAATGGCGCGTTGGGAGCGCCGGAAGTCGGCAAGGTCACAGTCGGCGGCAGAAATTCGAAAAATCAAAATTTAAATTTTTGAAATCTGATTGTATTTTTGGATTTGGGAGGTCCATTTGCTCCCTATAGAAGCTAATATTGCTGCATATTCCCATTGAGGTGACAAGAATTAGCAAAATAGTGGTTCGGGCGCTTTTCTAAAATAGTACGGGGACCCGCAGTTGCTTCTGTACACGAACCCCAACTCTAGCCGTCTGTCCTGTCCAGTAACAACTGATGATAATGATATCGACTGCTGGTCCCTGTACAAGAGCAGCTGAGGTTTCCTGTGAGTGCCCTCTGACAGTTTATCGTTGTTTCCTGTGAGGGTGCTGGGACAATTTACTCAGGGTCGCTGTACAGTAGCAACTGCGGGTCCCCGTACCGGACGCTGTTCCTCTTGTGACGTCATAGCTCCGTGACCTGACCTGACCCGGTCAAGTTTCTTATACCACATGATAGCCAATACTTGCCCCAACATGCATGGGAAGTTTCATCACGATCCATCAACCGATGTCCGTACCACCGGCAGGAAACCTCGGGCGTTGGCACTCAGTTTGTGAAAATCCGGCCGGAGGCTGTTCCCTTTGTGACGTCATAACTCCGTGACCTGACATGACCCGGTCAAATTTTTTTTATCAAAAGATGCGCAAGGTTTGCCCCATAAGGTACCCAAAATTTGGCGGCGCTGCGCGCCGCCGTTTTTGCACTATTTACGAAAAGCCTCAGGGGGGGGTTGCACCAACCCCCCCCCCTACATGGGCGAGGGTTAATTTAAAAACTAGAAGGCAATTCACTATCTACCAATATCTCGGAAGGCTTCGCATCGACACGGCCCGATCATCCTCATTCGACCGTCATGTAAGCTTGCGCGGCGCGGCTCGCGACTGGGAGGTATACTGTGCCGCTGTGCTACGGTGTTCCGCGGCACAGTATACCCACACAGGCCTCCGGCCGCCGCGGGCTGACTGAAGCACGGGTAACTATGCGTCTGTTTCAGTATTCGCGTTTGGACGGACCTACCCGATACTGTTCATCGCTCGGGCTCTACAGGGAGTTGGATCGTCGTGCTCCAGTATTTCAGGTCAGTCGAGGATTAGGCTACAGCCTCCTAGGCCCTCCTAACATCCAGCATGGTTCAGCAAACGGAGTTCTCTCAGATAAAAGGATGCCATCCCGAGGGAAGAATGTGGCTCCTCGCAGTCATCTAGCTTTGGTATCCCATTATCTTTATAACTATTAATGGTAATCGATAGCTGGTTGACAGAAAACACTGCACAAGTGGGCTCCCGTCTTCCGAATCACCCACATATCGTGGACCGTGGTGGCCTATGAACATACATATGCACATACACCGGCCGCGCGCTCACTAGCGGCGGAACACCTTCAATTAAGGGGGGGGGGGCACTGCCGACTTTTGGTCCCATTCTTTCCATGCAACGCCCATAGGGCTAATGTTAAAATGCCAAAATCAAATGGGGCACGGTGCCCCGGTGCCCTCCCCGTTCCGCCGCCTATGCGCGCGCTGACGCCTCCGTCCCTCCCGCTGCGGACAGGTATGGGAATGCTGGCCGAACGCTACCCGGACGACCAGGAGCGTGGCAACGCCATGGGCATCGCGCTCGGCGGCCTGGCCATGGGCGTGCTGATCGGGCCGCCGTTCGGCAGCTTCATGCTGCAGTTTGTCGGCAAGACGGCACCGTTCATCGTGCTGGCCGTGCTGGCGCTCGGGGACGGATGTGAGTGACGCATTTAACGCAAATTAATTACAGGATCTATCATATTTACATAAAATATAATATTGTAAAAATATAATATAATATGCATTATATTAGGGTAGCCTATAAGCCACATATGTATTTCATATTCCTTCACTTACCTATATATGTCATTTCCAGGTGTTGTATAATACATCGTAGTCAAGTTTCTCGGAGTCAGTACTTATTACCGCGCCGAGTTGCCCTTGTCGCGTGAATGGGAGACCCCATCGTCTCTAACTCGTGTTTCCGCGTCTCGTTTCAGTGCTGCAGCTGCTGATCTTGCAGCCAGGCGTCCGAAAACGGCCTGAGGAGGCGCCCTCCCTGAAGCAGCTAATCCAGGACCCGTACATCATCATATGTGCCGGTGCGTAGAAAATGCGCAGGTTGAGAATGTTCTTTTATCCCATGGTGAAGCCTGCAGGAAGTTTAGGTGAAAAGTGGTGAGGGTTTTTTAGGTACCCAACTTTGAAATTTTTACGGAAATATTGTCGAATTAAATTAAAACTAGATTGGAGGGTTTTTTCTGCGGTATTCTGCCAGTCCGGCTTTGATTATTGTTTACCTACTTCGGTGTTAATCTCTTGACACCTATCACACCAAGCCCAAGTTGGAATCCTACAAGGATGTATGATGGATGATGGAATCCTACAAGGATGTATGATGGATGATTGAGTCCTACAAGGCAGCTTGCTCAAATGCTCAAGCACACTAGACCTTGTATAACTCTTCACTGACCTCTGTTTCCCGAGCAGGCGCCATCACCATCGCCAACACGGGCATCGCGATGCTGGAGCCGTCGCTGCCCATCTACATGATGGACACGATGAAGGCAGACAAGTGGCAGCTGGGCGCCATCTTCCTGCCGGCGTCCATCTCGTACCTGATCGGCACGAACCTGTTCGGACCGCTCGGACACCGCGTCGGCCGCTGGCTGGCCTCGCTGGTCGGCCTCGTCATCATTGCCGTCTGCCTCATGTGTGTAAGTGTATCAGGTACCTCGAGAGATCAGCCTATCCTTTGGCTACAAATAATAACTGATTTAAGACCGATTGCCACAGAACCACAAACATGTGATTCCCGCGTCTTCACCGATCCACGGTGCCTAACATCTGGTCCTCCCGAACATGCCGAGAGCACAGTTTGTGACCTCCCTGTACCAGAGCCCCGCGTGCAACAGCTGACCCTCTTGCAGCAAGTTCCTAAGTCTCTAGCATGCAACCCTCCTTCCATACGCAGATTTTGGCCAGCACAGCTGACCATCCTGCATCATGTCTCAGAATCTAACATCTGACCGTTTCACCGGCAGATTCCGCTGGCTGTCAGCATCAACCACCTGATCGCGCCCAACGCCGGTCTGGGGTTCGCCATCGGCATGGTGGACTCGAGCATGATGCCGCAGCTGGGCTACCTGGTCGACATCCGGCACGCGGCGGTCTACGGCAGCGTCTACAGCATCGGCGACGTCGCCTTCTGCCTCGGCTTCGCAGTCGGTCAGTCGCCGAGGAGGGGAGAGGGGAGGAGCAGCGTGAGGAGAGGGGAGGACGGCTGGGAGGAATTATGTCGGTCAGTCGTCTGGAAGACTTAGCGGCAATAGACAAGGAGAATAGAATTAATAGTTTAGAAAGCTAAAAAATTGAACTGAAAATCGTTTAAATCCGGGTTAAAATAATCTGTTGAATGAGTCAATGGAAAGCTAGGTACGGACTCGTTCATCATTGCCATTTTTACATCCCTGGTTGCCATATTTCGAGAGAACATACATTGCTACAAATTATGTAGAGCTTCAATGACAAAGTCATGGTCGCTACAAAATGTCCCGTCGACAAACAGCACAAATGGCGTCGCTGTTAAGAAAATTCTGACACAAGTCAAACAGTACGTATTCCTCCAATTTAGTAAACCCCCTGGGTGCGGGACCGTTGGCGTCTGACCCAGTTGTCGCCTGTTTATTATGTTCAATGTACTCCAATTTAACCCGGTGTGCGCCCCAATTAACCCGGTGTGCGCCCCAATTAACCCAGTGTGCGTCCCCAGGGCCGGCCCTGAGCGGCACACTGGTCAAATCGATCGGATTCAGCTGGATGTTGTACGGCATAGCGTTCATCACGCTGCTCTACGCGCCACTACTCATCTACGTGCGCAACCCTCCGTCTAGACAACCCGAGAAGGAGGTAAGTGCTGGCCAGACAACCCGAGAAGGAGGTATGATCAAGTCAGATAACCCGAGAAGGAGGTAAGTACCGGTCAGACAAACGGTTAACGAGATTTGACTCGCCCCCGACAGCCCGGCAGGAATCGTCTGACGTCTCAATTTCCCCTCTCCAGTCAGCCGGGTTTCGTGGGCCAGCTGATAGCCCTGTCTAAAGATATGTGTCGTCACGGACAGACAGGGCATCCCGGCCCATTAGCGTGAGAACGTGATGCCTCTCTGATCTCTCCCATTGTGACTGAGGAGCACGACACTTTATAATCAAAGGGAAGACATAAGCCACCTGCAATTACTTCCACTACCTCGAGCTTCGTCTTCTGATTATTATCAACGCAGATAACTTTCGAAAGCAAAGTCGCGATTGGATTTCCTAGCAAGGCGTAGACGATAACTCGAATACACATTCCGGTATGTTGGTCGTATTCTTCATATTTTTGGCCTTTAGAGACAAAAACAACGTGCTCGTTCGACGTTCGCTGTCCAATGTCCATCTCAGGTCGTGTTTTACGTTCCCCACTGACGCACATCGTTTCTTTCCGCAGTCTCTCTACGACAAGGCGTCGGTACGCTACGTCAGCTACCAGAACGAAGAGGACGAATGATATCCGTGAGCTGCGGGGGTGGGCGTGCCCCGCAGCTCGCCAGCGCCGGCCGGCGGCGCCCTCTGAGCCCGGCTGGCCGCCGGCGCGCCGCGAATGGCTGCGCGGCGCGCCGGCGCGCCGCCCGCCACGCCGCGGTCCCGGCCGGCCCGGGCCGCGCTCCACCGAACCGAACAGGCTGGTTGCCTGGGGACCAATCGATGTTGTGTTCGCTGTTGCGCGTGTCGCGCCCTAGCCTTAAGGGTCCACGCGGCGCGGCGGTGGCCCGGTCGGCAGTACGGGATCGCGCTCCGGGCCCGCTGGTAACTGCCGACGGACGGGCGCCTCTCACCGCAGCTGAATGACACCCCGGGGACACATCAACCCTGGCACCCATCTCAGAGCACAGCACCGCAATATCCCACACAGATGAACGGCACATTCCCTTTTAGCACGCACCACCATACGCACCAACGGATATTCACCATTTCTTTGCAGATCACACTTTGTCCTATCACTTCTAAAACTGACCTGGTATTGAAAACATTAAATTTCAAACCGTTACCTTTCCCTCATGGTCGCCCCTCCCGCTCTTTGCACGATAACTGAGCCACAGTACCTACTCCATCCTAGTTGATGGAGCTGCCGAGGAGCGGCGCCACAGTCCCGGTACCGATGGCGCCCCGTCTGCCCCGCCGCCACCGCCGCGCCGCGTCATGGATGGTCTGAGGGTCCAAATATGTGCCGCAAGATTGTTCATTGTTACTTGTCTACAAAAACCACTAAAAACCAATAAAATGCTGAAAAACCGTGTTAGTTTGTCGTGTTGTTTTGGGCCTGGCGACTACTATGGATACCTCGACGGGCGGTAAGCACCGGTACCCTTTACTTCGAGTAGACGTCTACTTTACCAGTCGGTGTAAAAAAAATCGACAGGACTTAAAATGAATTAGTAAACAGCATCTGAAAGCGCATTGGTCTCGGTAAACACCATCTTACTGCACATGTATATTTTGGAGCAGCTTAGTTCCCTGAGAACAGGAATAAGTATGAAATGCAATTATCAAAAGCGCGAGTAGTGGATAACTCCGGCGACATTTACAACAATGTCTGGATATATCGTTCCATGACAACAGGACATGGAACATCCGAAAAGGGTGGGCTCAAAAGCTCCCCTCCTCACCCGACGCGTAAGAAGCACAAATATGAGACAGTTCAGAATGAACGGCAGCATTCCCATAATATCATTGGTACGCAGCCTCGCCGCATACGGTTCCAAATCTAGTGCCTCTCAGGTCGGGTCTCTTGGCCAATGATCAGCCCAGAGCCGGTGACAGTACGGACTCGTTAATTTTCTACGAGCCAGTCATGACGACCGCTTTAAGCCAAGGACCTTATGCGATAGATCGCAATGACGCATCTTGGTCTTATTCACTTTCACGCGGGGTCTTGTTGGCCAACATCACCAGAAACGAGACAAAGCATCATCAGAGCTCTCCAATCAAAACGTCGACATCCAATATCAAGTATTGTAGGAACGAACACGCACTCAGACCCCCAAATCACGGAACAATGGAATCTGGCCGGCCTCCGAAGCCGCCACGAACTTTCAACTTCATCCGCCATCATCACGCCGGGGCAGTTCTAGCTGTTCTGCCCCGACCACCCCTTTCACCGCTCCCTACCAATGAGTTCCCGCGTCCCCCACCTGCGGTCACGGCGTCTAGGCGTCCAGCCGTCGTTAGCTGCTCTCCTCACCGTCTGGAGTCTCCCGTTCCCGGGTGTACTCGTCGTACTGATCGTACTTCCGGCTGTCGCCGCGCACCCGCTCGGCTGGGTACTTGGCGGCGTTGTGCGTCATCTTGCGCGCGGCCGCGGCCGGCAGGTCCACGCCGCAGACGTTCGACAGGCGCACCAGGTAGAGTAGCACGTCCGAGAGCTCGTGTTCGAGCCGCGTGCGGTCGGCGGTCGACCAGCCGGGCAGGCCGGCGGGGACCTCGCCGCGCCACTGACTGCGGACGGACCGAGCGGAGGGTTACTGGGTGGGGACCGACCGGGAGAACAGCTGGGGTACCCCGACCGGGGAACAGCTGGGGTACACCGGCCGGGACATCAGCTGCGGTACCGAGCGGAGGGTTACTGGGTGGGACCGACCGGGAGAACAGCTGGGGTACCGAGCGGAGGGGTTACTGGGTGGGGGCCGACCGGGAGAACAGCTGGGGTACCGAGCGGAGGGGTTACAGGGTGGGGGCCGACCGGGAGAACAGCTGGGGTACCGAGCGGAGGGGTTACTGGGTGGGACCGACCGGAAGAACAGCTGGGGTACCGAGCGGAGGGGTTACTGGGTGGGGGCCGACCGGGAGAACAGCTGGGGTACCGAGCGGAGGGGTTACTGGGTGGGACCGACCGGAAGAACAGCTCGGGTACCGAGCGGAGGGGTTACTGGGTGGGGGCCGACCGGGAGAACAGCTGGGGTACCGAGCGGAGGGGTTACTGGGTGGGACCGACCGGAAGAACAGCTGGGGTACACCTAGCTAGAGGGCACAATAGGTAAATAGCAAATCAAATGCCCGAGATACAAGAGTAGAGTCAATGCGCATTACTAATGATTTGACGGGCGTTGCTACATGAAAAATAATGTGAATTTATTTTTTTTTATGGCATATTAACTATTTTCGATAATGAGTGCAGCAGCACGATGAACATCATACGAATACGCGCCAAATAATATTCCGTTAAGCTTATCCAAGGCAATGATGATGAGATAAATGCTGCACTAAGGAAGACTGAAGAAAAATAGAATAATATAGAAACCGCCAAGTAACAACTGATATTTCTAGGAGGCTGGCCCAACGGTCCAAGATCTTTACATAGGCGCTGGTGACTCACAATATTTCCGAGAGCTCGCCCACCTCGCCGACCAGTGCCAGCAGGACGTTACGTGGCGTGTGGTACTGGTTCCAGTCCCGCTCCGAGGCAAACTCCTGCATCTGCGACCGTCTGACACACAGACATACAAAAACAGTCAGTCAACATTACAAGAGAGGCACAAAGTACATACTACATTGTGGTAAGTGTCGTGAAGGCATTTGACTGTTTAAATGGTGATAGGGATGAGAATATAGTGAAGCAAATGTATAACTATAACAAAAGAGCAGCAGGGATGACAAGATAAGCCAATGAAAAATTACTGAATGGCATTAGAAAAAGAAGTGGGTAATGCGCACCGTCAAATGACCATAGGTACTGGTTTCTGGTAGGTCCTATGATATCATGTGCAAACAAAATATGCTGTTTGAAACAGCATATTCTTTTCAAATTCAGATATTCTTCAAAATTATGTTTTGTATGTAATATGTATGTCTGTATGTAGTAGGGTACCATCATGGACAAGACAATCCACACGGGGCGTGGCGATTACAGTCCAGAGTCTGAGTCGGGTACGAACAAAAACATGCGAGGGCAAGAAACACAGGCATACAGATTCAATCGCCGGACATTCGCCCTCTCTATATATACATACGGACGATTCAAGACAGCACACCGCACACGGATGTCACATCCCCTTCGCCCTGACACGGGTCATCGTCGGGCGGTCGCCATCGCCGGACAGACTGCAGCCTTGGCCGCACGGGCGAATGGGGCGGGGCGCTGTTCGATGACGCCAGGAGGCAGACTGTTAAGCAGCGTCGCGGCCCGGTAGCCGAACCGTCGCTTGCCTGTCTCGAGCCGCGAGCGTGGGGGGTGGAAAAGATGGTCCTGTCGAGTGGATCTCTCTCGCGCGTCACTGTTATTAGTGAATATGGCCGCTAGTTCGTCGGGCTCGCCGTTCTTTACTTTTCTTTTTAGCAGTTATGAGGGTTTGAATATCGGCCATAGCTTTCGAAGATATCCATCCAAGCGAGTCACAGAGGCCAGACAGGTGGTCGAATTTACGGCGGCTGAAGATGACCCGTGCTGCGAAGTTCATAATTTTTTGAAGCCGGTCGAAGTTTTTCAGGGAGCCATTTCCGTAGACAGCGAGGCAGTACTGGACGCGCGAGATGACAAACTTGTTACGATACGATCGTTTTGAGGATGCCGTCAGGGAGACAGTGTCGTGCGTGGTAGAGGCCGTTCAGTACGCCCATGCAGCGACGGCTCAGCTCGGCTACGTGTGCTTCCCAGGTGAGTGCGCCGTCGAATACAACGCCCAGGTTTCCAGCCTGCGCACACGGCTGGAGCTCAGCGTCACGGAATGAAATTTTGAAGCGAGGCAGGTTACGTAGGTTTTGTCGGCTACCGAATACCATGAGTTGAGCTTTAGATTTTAGAAGCGTTGACTTTCAGGGCATGTGCGCAGAAACCTGCGTTAACCCTATTAGTGGCAGGGGGGGGGGGTTGTTTTTATCCACCCCTCAGGTTTTTCGGGAATAGCTCCGAAACCGCTGAAGCTACGATGCTGAAATTTTCTGACTTTTCCTAAAACTAAATTGGGCACATTCCCTGAAAATTTCAAGTTCATAACTTTACCAGGGGCGGCTCCAGAGCACTGGGAATTGGGGGGTCCTATTCGTGAAGCGAGTCATTTGGGCGAAGATCACGATGCTGCACCAGTTTTACGAACAGTGAATGAAAGGTATATGTGATAACATATACAAAGTTATTGTGCATCCTCTTTTCACACGTTTTTGCTATAATAGGCGGATCCAGGCGTCCAAAAAGGAGGGTTATTTTTTACCTCCCAACATAGGTGCCCTGACACCGCCTATGCATGACCAATACAATTTTAGTCGTTCTCTCATAAGAAAATTGTAACATAACAAGACCATTGCCACCCTTTTTAGAAACAGTACCAACAAAAACCTTATTTACTATATTTTTTGTGTACCCCCAATCTCAATGATCTGTATCCGCCTATGATTTTTGAAAATGCATATTTTTAGGATCCATGTGAATTCCTGGTTCATTCTCTATCGATCGGCAAAAGTTGTGTTAAGATTGGTTCAGAAACCTGGCCGTGATAAACAGTCTAAAATGTATCTGCAATTTGCCCGTTTTTACCCCCCTCTACCCCCTATTGACATTTTTTAATTTTATTTTTTTTAGAAATGTAGATCTCGTTGAGCGAAATCGAATGCCGTTTGAATTTTGAAAATCAGCCCGTCAGATCTCGAGATATCAAGGGGGGTCGTAAACAGCCCCCCCCCCCTGCCACTAATAGGGGTAGCCAGGAGCCTGCCACTAATAGGGTTAAGTGACGCTAGGGATGCCTCCATGCGCGAGATGAGACTCCTGATGTCGTTGCGTGGGCCGCTCACCAATATCTGGGTGTCGTCTGCGCACTGATGTCTGATAGTATCTGATGTTCCATCAGATACCACTTCACAGCCTATAGCTTGGAAGAGGTTCCAACTTCCATACATATCATCTGTAAATGATCTCTAACAAATGGGATAACACAATCCTGAACAGTTCATTGTTACAGAGCTGTTTGTAGCAGCCATCCTTTAACGTGCAGCATAGGACGAATCTACTCACATTTCTTCCAGCGATGGTTTCTCAGAAAACTGCACCAGTGGAATGCCATTCTGTGGTGGCGCATCATTTGGAGTCGGTACCTCAGACTGGTTTTGCTCTGCAGAAGCCATGACAAAGCCTGTAACATGTCAAATATAAGCATATCAGCATTGTCACATTAGCCTGTTCCAGTGGGTAGCATTGTGAGGACTTTTATCTCGAGGACTTTTGAGAGGATTGTGAATTGTGGTTTATTCGGGTCGAATCTTTCAAATTTTATTTACAAAACTTTGTCAGCGAGTCGAAATCGTGTTCGGGGTATCGGTCGTGAAATTAAGGTAAATTTAGGTCAATTTTGCGAACGATACCCCCGAACCCGATTACGACTCGATAACAAAGTTTTATAAATACACTTCGACGTGCTCAGCTCCTACTAGAACGATTTCTTGTGACCAGGTCCTCATTCACTTATTACAGATGAAACCTATGTTTTAGGGCTTTGGATGAAACCCAGATAGCCTACCTGAAAGAAAAAATAAAATACTGATTTTCCCGCGCTTGCAACCACACCAATCGCATCTCAATCGTTAGCCATTAGGGCCATTAGCCCATTAGCCCATTAGCGCACAATAGGCTGAAGGGTCGACAAATAATGCGCAGCTGTGACAATTCAATGCAGTAAGCTGCTACTAAATCAAAATTATTGTGTAGGCACGTTTGAAGAACATGTGGTGCGCCTTTTCTTTACTTGTTGCATTATTTTGCTTCCTTTCTATTATTTGTAAAACAAATTCATCAAATCAGAAAGAAACTCCAATGACCATTGATCAACAAAGATCACAGACATGCACGGATCAGAGATCCCAGTGACGCACGGTATATAAGGAACTCAGTGACGGATCCATGCTATCCAAATCCATGCTCTCAGTGGATCACAAAAGCAAAAGACACCTTAGGATATTAGCTCTCATTAGATCCCCGACGATAAATTAACCCTCGCCCGTATCGGTGTTTTACCAGCCGCGAACGTATAATGGGGGTCCAACGTCCGTTGGACCCCCATTGCCGTTTTGCCCCTGATCGAGCTCGAGCTTCGCGGGGAAAAAGCGTTTTGCTCGTGACGAGAGCAAGCCGATGATGCTAAAGTTTAACCCTATTCCTGGCGGGGGGGCCTCAGGAGCCCCCCCCCCCTGAGGTTTTTTGGTTATTTCTCCCAAACGCTTTGAGCTCGGAAGCTCAAATTTTCTGACTTTTCCTAAAAGGCTTTTACGCAACATTTCTGAAAATTTTGAGTTGATCTGACCTCAGGTCAGGTCACCAGAGGCGGTTTGGTGACCCTACCTCAGAAAAGTTTGCAATCACGCCAGAGCTAGAGTTTTTGACCGATCAATTTCTTCTCTTCAGGCTTTAGTTAGGGTACCAGTATGTGCAATTTGTATATCTCAGAATTTTCATATCTGTGACCTGAGGTCAGGCCAGACTCGTGACCTTTACATTGCAAACCTATGGGAAAATATTGAAACGCCTCCTGCTTCGTGTAAACGAGTCAAAACCACCCAATTCTTTCAGTATTATGGAAGATTATCTCATCGGTGATGATCCTGGTGCCGCTAATTGACAGGGGCACCGGCAAAGGTCATCTGAGGTCATGTGACGTCATAAATCGTTTTTCTGTCAATAAATCACGACATGATGGTGCTAAAGACTTGTAAGTGGTACCAAACTGCTCGCCTGGTCAAGACGCGTCGTTTGGTATGCAGCATGACCATACCCCACAACCTCATTGATGAATGACCTGACCTTGACCTCAGGTCAAATTTCAAATTGACCTGTGAAGGTCATCACATACTTATTTCGCATCGCCTCGGCGAGAGCAACAAAAAATGTATTGGTTTTATGTCCCTATGTTTCTTAGTTTAAAAGTTTAAAAATAGGTAACTAATTCCAAAACATTTTATCGTTGATGACCTCTGGTGACCTCAATATTGACCTGACCTGAAAATGTTTTATGTAAAAGTTGTAGATCTTTAAACGACCTATCAAACGCCGTTCGCCGTTTGTCGCTGCGATGTGTAGTTTTTGAGATCTGAAGGGGGGGGCCGAATCGCCCCCCCCCGCCAGTTTCTTGTCCCGGCGGAGCCTGCCAGGAATAGGGTTAAGGTCCTATCCCCTAGGTCATTGGTTGACCTTTCAGGTCAGGTCATTGACCTACCTAAAAGCCGGTAAAATCGGGACCTGTTAGAATATCGTGAAGTATGGCTGCTATGGGGTTTTCGGGGTGCTGATCACAAATATCATGGTAGTTTTGATCACAGATGATGTCCTCATGCATTTAGGTCAGGTTGGATCAGGTCAGGTCACGTCAGCCGGGTATTCGTGCTGACCTATGATCCCGATGGATCTCGATAAATTAGTTAGATCTATGATCCTTCCGGGAACCGGGTCAAAGATCAAGAACGGTGGGATCACATCCCAGATCCATTTTCTCGGATCCGTACACATGTCTGCAACTAATACAAGTTTGGCACAAAGGAATCTACTGGACTATTAATTGGTCAGTGCCGTCCACCGAAATGAGGCATGCGCCCTGCTGAGTGCCTATTCCACATCAAGCTTATTACGCCTTGTAACGATAACGTAGCAGACAGCTTATGACATAACTACATGACTAATTTCTCCACCCTCACGCAGACAAACCAATTTCAGCGAAGTCGTGCGCAGTTTTGTGGTATCATGAATCATCTTTACAACATGGTGTTACCAAAAACGGCAAGTACCAGCCAATCAGAAAGGTCCATACAGCAAAAAATATACACGACTGTTAACCCTCGCCCCGTTGGGGGGGGGCCATTTTGGCCCCCCCCCCTGTGGTTTTTCCTGAATAGCAAGAAAACGGCGGCGCGCAGCGCCGCCAAATTTTCAGTACCTTCCCGGGCATCAATTTGACACCTTCACACCAAATTTCAAGTCTTAGGTCACCTTAGGTCAGGAGTTATTGAGGTCAAACTGAGGTCATGTTCGAGCAAAAATGAGCAAAAAACATGCAATCTTGAAACGCTCACCAAATCTACAGTTATCAAGCAATTTCAAAGTTCTTTATATGGTCTAGTAGACAAAAAGCGGCGCTACAAAACTGCTATCTCGGATTTTCAAAATTTTTGGTTTTTGACCAAAAAAAAATCAAAAAATTGATTTTTTTAGAAAAACTTTGAAAAAATCCAAAAATTTTCCGAGTTTCGAAAAAACCGGAATATATGTGATAGTCCCAGCGCTCTTCTATATACATACCAAATTTCAGATCGATATCTCGTATTTTGGCCAAGTTATAGCGAAACAACTGTTCAAAAATGATGACGTCAAATTTTTGAACTCAATTTTTAGCGATTCTAGACCACGTACGGCAAAACAAAGACCACCATTGAACTCCCCGTGACGAGCTGCATCGATTCGATACCCATTTTATGCAAAAATATTGACTTTGAAATTTGACCTAATTTGACCTGACCTTGACCTGACCTTGACCTGACCTTGACCAAAACGTGATCTAAGCTGGCCCCAAAGGCTGCCTGACCCATATAATCGCATTTGTCATGTAAAATGGACCATAAAACATGTATCACACGACACTTTCATATTGTGACCCCCCCGTGACCTGACCTCTGTGACCTGACCTGGTATCAGTGACCTCAAATAGCAAAATATGTGTTTGAAGAACATTTCCCCATCGATGATTTTCAATGAAATGCATTTTACTCGATTTTACAACGCATTTCTTGAAGTGCCTGTAAACGGTGAAAATTGGACCTTTGACCTGACCTGTGACGTCATCGGTTTGACCTAGGTCAATAAAATTGGGTCACAAGGTAGTTCCCCGTTGGGGCTATCCAACGCCGTTTACCGCTTGTCGCTATGTTGCGTGGTTCTCGAGATCTTAGGGGGGGGCCAAAATGGCCCCCCCCCCCAACCGGGCGCGTTGCTCGGCAGAGCCCAACGGGGCGCGGGTTAACAGTAGGCATTTATATTACACACGGCGACAGCAAACGATGATGCTCGATTGAAATGTCACATATACACGAAACTGATGAATCTTACGGTTGGCCAAGAGGCCCAACGACAAGCAGCACATATTGTCATAGAGTTTGTACATTTTATCTTAGAAATATAGGCACGCTAAGATAAAACATTTTATCAAGGTAAGTAACATTATCCTCCAGCTGCTCACGGTCACCGCACGACCTTGAGCTGTGCTACGTAAGTCACATGGTGGCCAATACAAGCCCGTGTGAGCCATCGACACGTAACAGGTCAGAGGACAGGTCACCAGTGCTGGTATGGTAATGGTATGTAACACATCCAGCAACTGCTGTCTGACCCGGACAGCCAGAAGTGACAACACGGTAATCATGACCAGATATCAACCGAATGGTCACTTTGGAAGACGCTGGCTTTGAAAACACGCTCTCACCCGCCACTTTCACGTGTTGGCTGAGAAACAATTTCTCTCCTTGGCACTTGTGCTATATGAGAAAACATGCATATTTATTGTTCATGCCATCAAAGCGTCAGCTCGACAGACAAGCGAGCGCTAGTTGCTACGTTTGTACCATCATTGAACGTGTTAGCAATGCTACAGCTATCAAATTTATTGACGATGACGTACCACGAAAATCATACTGCTGCATATTGTGCTTTCAAAGTCCGATGCAGCTGTATCGTTCAACCGCTTACTCTAATAACGTGAAAGCACAATGATTGTCAGGCACTTGCTAACAGTCGGTTTTACCACATTTCAATATAAATACGCTCTGCTTGCCATGGTTTTAAAAGCTGCTACTAAGAGTCGCTCCTACTCATCATTGCCTATAAATCTCGTGGGCGAATGCGACATTACAATCATATACCACACTGCAAACGACGGTTGCTCATTTCTTTGATCGAGTTCAGAGCGAGGAAAGGCGATCGTTGCTCTCAGCGTGTCAGCCGTCTCGGATGACTGCCGACTCATGTTAAGGACACCTGCCGATTTCAGTCCGTATGGTAGAGCTTATGGCACTGGGCTGGGCATCAGCAGACTGTTTGAGCCCTGCTAAATAAATACGCTTTTCAGATCCTTTGTCAATTGTCGCACATTGTAAAGGCCAACTGTTCAGATGCAGGGAAAACGAAAGCTCAATTACAGCGTCTGAGCTCAGATATAGCATATACGCAACAACGCACCAGCATCTGAAATTCAATATTTTCATGGCTAAATATCAAGCTGGTGGCACTGAAAATATGAAAAAGCCTGACAGCTTATGGTTTCAGAAGAAAATATCAACTGGCAGTCCTAAAGAGACGCATGGGATTTCATAATAAAAAGATATAGCAGCTGCGTATAAGGGTGAAAAAATGCTAGTTTGCGGCATCACAAATTACAAAAATATTGGATCATGGCACCCCAGTGATAAAATGCCCGCCTACGACACATACAACTCACTACCATTGCAGATCACTAACAATTCAACACACATATCAGCAACATCGAACACATCCAAACACAACACTGCTCTCACCGCGTAAACCCTGTGTTCCGGCGCTGTTCCGTCCCCCAGTGACGTCACCATGCCCCCAGTGACGTCACTCGACGCCCTGTCTGCGCAGCTCGTCTGTGACGCGCTCCAGGTAGCCGGGATCCGGGTAGCCGTGGCCGCCGCTGTTGCCGTGCAGCTCGGTCTTGTGGTGGATGCCGTTCCAGGTGACGCAGTCCTCCTCTCCGGTGGTGTGGGACGGACCGACAGTGAAGATCAGCCGCCGGCGCCACGCTTCCTCCAGCAGCCGCAGCACCTGTCAGTGCAGCGGGGAGGGTCAGCCGCAGCACCTGACAGTGCAGCGGGGAGGGTTAGACACAGAACTGACAGTGCAGCGGGGAGGATCAGACACAGAACTGACAGTGCAACGGGGAGGGAGGGGGGTCAGCCGCAGCACCTGACAGTGCAGCGGGGAGGGTTAGACACAGAACTGACAGTGCAACGGGGAGGGTTAGACACAGAACTGACAGTGCAGTGGGGAGGGTTAGACACAGAACTGACAGTACAGCGGGGAGGGTTAGGCACAGAACTGACAGTGCAGCGGGGAGGGTTAGACACAGAACTGACAGTGCAACGGGGAGGGTTAGACACGGAACTGACAGTGCAGTGGGGAGGGTTAGACACAGAACTGACAGTGCAGCGGGGAGGGAGCTGGGTCAGTCGCGGGACTTGACAGTACAGCGGGGAGGGTTAGACGCAGAACTGACAGTGCGACGGGGAGGGAGCTGGGTCAGTCGCGGCCGCGGGACTTGACAGTTCTCAGACGCACCTGACAGTGCAGCGGGGAGGGTCAGTAATTAGTATCGATAAATCATAGCAGATGAGAGTCAGCACCAGCTGACAGGCACCGGAAAGTAGTCACAGTCACAATTGAGCATAAAAACTATGATACACAAAATAACAGAGCTTTCCTTTGAGAAAATGACGTAGAAAATGACATACCTACGACGATATTGTGTGACAATTTGTATCTGACAGCTGTTGATATGAGTCATTTTTTTTTTTCAAATATGAAATAACAGTTTGTTACTGAAATAGGTAGGTAGTTATGCTAATGATATTTGCGTTCTGCATTTTTTTCACCGAAGTATTCAGCACACGAAACAGAGCATGAAAACGGGTCAGTGTACGTTTCAGTGACAGTGTCAGTGTCCCCTCGTCACTGACCTTGCGCCCCTGCGGGTTGCTGGGCAGGTAGCAGATGCGCGGGAATCCCCGCACCTTGTACGGCCGGCCCGGGTGCGGGTGCTCCGGACCCTGGATTCCGGGGGAGATCCTGACGGGCGGCACAGCTCGCGGTCAGAGAGAAGTGATACAGACGGTAGGGCACCGATGACACTTGGCAGGCAGCACAGCTGGGGGCCCTGGCCGTAGACAACAGACACTGGTGCATCACAGGGACCCGGGGTGACATGGCGCCACCCAGGTTCCAAACGTAAAGCACAGCAACTAACAGGCATTTGACAGCTTATGAATAACGAACATATGCCATTAATAGCAGTGTCTAATACTAGGAGGCATGACACCCATTTGAAGCTGAGCGATATCGTAATAAAACCATAGCAACCATACAACCATAGCAAACCACCACCAGGCAATTAACACCGCCGTGCTGACCACCCGGAGCGCACACAGCTGCCGCACGGACTGATATTCTATACACTCACATGTAGGAGATTTCTATGGTGTCGCAGTCATGTCCCGGCAGAGGGATCGGCAGCCGGCGCGTCGACATCCGACCCGGCGGCTGTTTGCCGATCTTCCGGCCGTAGATGGCCTGGCAGGCGGGACACTGCAGGTACTGCACCTGAAGGGGAGGCAGGAGGGTGCGATTAGCAGTGGGCGATGTGGACACTGCGCTCCAAGGATAGTCCAGAAAAGGCCACAAAGAGAAACGGTCTCTGACCACACTCCCAGTCGTCACAAAACTTCTTCATTCGATTGGAAAGCGATACCTTCCCCCAAAATTTGAGTCTGAGCAAATATGAGCATCACGAATATCTTCATCAGCAGTGTGACACCGCGAGGGTTGTGTTTGCTTCCCCTCTTCTAATCTGGTCGTCTATACTGCCCGCGGGCTGTACTTCATTCACCTGAGCAAGCCACAGTCATCCTATTACCACACTTCTCTCCTCTCTTGTTCTACAACCTCCCTCCTCCCCCTCCATATACAATACATACACACAAAGTTATTCGACCTAGGCACGCTTTGGACACTGGCCATACGGTCTGTGTCCATCTGACATTCTCACACAGCCTACGTCGCCGAAAATCCCCCCCCCCCCCCTGACGCTCCCCCCTCGGCCGCTCACCTGGTTGGTGGTCTCGACCATGGCCCTCAGACAGTCGAGGTGGATGGCGTGCCCGCAGCCGTTGAGCTGGATGACCAGGTCGTCACCGTAGGCCGACCGCTCTGCCAGCTGGTAGCGGCAGATGCAGCACAGGCAGCCGGCGGCCGGCAGCACCACCGACGTGTACATCAGCAGCAGCTGCTCCAGCGTCACCTCTGAACCAGCGACGGGAAAATGTCAGAGGGCTGGGCGGACGAACGGACGGACGGACGGACGTCAGAGGGGTGGACGTAACAGACGCCAGACGGGGACGGACCGGGCCAGACGGATGTGCGTCAATCGCTGAGCGGCGAGTGGCCTCGTGCCATAATAACAGTTAATTCCTAACTACTGGGTTGTCATTATCCGGACGGAAACATGGCAAGCCCATTTTTTTTTTTTACAAATCTAACTAAAATTGGGATAGGTATTAAATGTCTAATAACAAAAACGGAAGAGAGCGATAATCTTCACAGCGCAAAAAAAAACACGGTTTTACACTGTCAGTTCCCACTACCCGCCGTCCTCCCGGTAGCTGGTGTCCATCAGACAGAGACTGTCAGTTCCCACTACCCACCGCCCCCCCCCCCCAGTTCCCACTACCCACCGTCCCCCAGTTCCCACTACCCACCGTCCCCCAGTTCCCACTACCCACCGTCCTCCCGGTTCCCACTACCCACCGTCCTCCCGGTAGCTGGTGTCTATCAGACAGAGGATGTCAGTTCCTACAACCCACCGTCCCCCAGTTCCCACTACCCACCGTCCTCCCGGTAGCTGGTATCCATCAGACAGAGGCTGCGCCCGGAGCTGTGCGAACTCTGGCTGATGTAGGTGGAGATGGTGGCCACGCTGAGCCGTCGGCCGTCGGGGGGTCGGGCCGGCGGCCGGCCCGCGGCGGCCGGCAGTCGCGTGCTGCCGCCGCCGGCCAGCCGCGCCGACACGGCAGACGCCCGGCTCACGGCCGTGGCCGCCGAGTCGGCACTCTCCCGGCGACTCGGCTGCCGACTCGCCGCAGGACTCGAGTCCGGGTCGAGCGAGTCGGCGATCCGACTCGACAGCCGAGTCAGCTGCTTCATCAGCTTTTTGGTGCCGCTGCTGTCCTTGCGCTTCTTGTCCTTCTCCTTCTTTTTGGAGGTGGCAGGTGGCCGTCGGATCTCCTCTGCGAGGTGCCGCGGGAAAAATGAACCAAAACGAACGGAATTAAACAAATAGAAATGATCAAACATACAAATCATAAAAACAACTTTGAAATGCTGAATGGGACGCAAAAAGAGCATGTGAAATCATCTAAAAAGTAAAACGATTTACAGACCATCCTGACGATTTAAATAGGATATAGGTACTGAGTTATACTAGAACCGGAGTCATACTGAAACAAGAGAAAAAAAAAAACATTAATAAGCCAATAACAAGAGTGCTAGCTTAAAGGCGAGCTCCATGCATCGGTAGCCTGCCGTGCTCCACTTCTCGACCCCTGTAGACTGGGATAACGCTCCTTAACGCTCGCTGACCACCACTCGGCGGCAAACAGCCTTGTTTCATCCGCATCAGTCAGTAACTCGTCTCGAAGCAGCAATGCTCTGGCATCGTCGCCCCTTCATCCGACTGTCGGCACCTGTCAGCTCCAGTGCCTCACTGCTGATTGGTCTCCCTCCATCACCACACACCTCCGCGGCACACAGACCGGTAGGTACCCTCCAGCAGTAACACCGAGTCCAGTAGGCCGGCCGCCACTGCGCGCCCCGCCAGTCTCCACAGCTCACCTATGGCCGGCGGCTGGAACACAAACTCGTCGGCCGGAACCTTGGTGAGCGGGTAGGCCGCCTGCTGCGCGCGCCGGATCTGGCGCACGAAGCCGCTCGTCTTCTTCACCTGGGTCAGGTTGCAGAAGTTGATGATGTAGGGCAGGTGGGCGAACACGTTACTGACGTCCACCGTCTGCTCGCCCTGTGAAGGAAGTGGCGACCGAGGTCAGGGACATTGTAACTCCCATCAAAAGCTAAGGCAGGAAAAACGTTTTAGGCATATATTCCCCTTTCGTGGTATCTTTTTAGGAGCATAAGCAATTGTCGGTATCAAAGTTATCACCGTTAAAAGTAGCGAAACCGGTATATAGGTACCCAAAGATCAAGTTAAATGCCTACAAAAAAAAATATACAGGCCACGCCCATACACTTGTCTCTGACCCGTCTTCTCCACCTCACCAGAGGCCATTCCTCTTCTTACCGTGCACCCACCAGCTACCAGACTACTTCTTTTCCAATTGAAGGAAGAAAGGTGTAGACGTACCCCTTTGCCGCACACTCACCAGCGACCAGACGGCCACTAGTCTACAGTCCACACCAGCTCTCCCGTCATACTGTGCCCACTGTCTGGAGGTCACTGGAGACTCACCAGTGACCAAGACAGCCACTACAGTCTACACGTCCATCTCTCCCGTCATACTGTGTCCACTGTCTGGTTAAGGAGACTCACCAGCGACCAGACGGCCACTACAGTCTACACGTCCATCTCTCCCGTCAGACAGTGTCCACTGTCTGGTTAAGGAGACTCACCAGCGACCAGACCGTTATACTACAGTCCAAAGTCTACACCATCTCTCCCATCCCTCCCATACAGTGTCCACTGTAGTTATGGCCACTCACCAGCGACCAGACGGCCACTACAGTCTAGTCTACACCAGCTCTCCCGTCCCTCCCCGACTGTGTCCACTGTAAATATGCAGACTCACCAGCGACCAGACGGCCTCGACCAGGCACTGGACGTCCATCCCTCCCGTCCCTCCCCGACTGTGTCCACTGTCTGGTTAAGGAGACTCACCAGCGACCAGACGGCCTCGACCAGGCACTGGACGTCCATGTCGTAGCTGTGCCACTCGCCGGGCGTGTCGCCGGACCACTGCCACACGGCGCCACGGCCGGCCGGAGAGCTGGGCAGGTAGAACTGCCGGCGCACCACCAGCTCGCGGTCTGCGGAGCGGACGCGGAGCGGTGCTCGGTGAGATCAGAGATGGAGGGCCAGGCATAACGCTCAACTCGGTCAGACGGCACAGGGCTCGGCGTTCAACACCGTCAAACATGTGCTGAACGCTATAGGGCAATTGCAAAATTGAATGATGCTGAATAAATGCATAACTACAATACCGAAAAGAAAAGAGTGATAGTAACATCACGTTTTAGATATATATTCGAGCAAATACCGATTTAAGTATGGTGACAACAGTCCCGCGCTCAGTCACCCTACGTCCCACGTCCTGCCGTCACGCACCAGACGAGTCGCAGAGCTGGCGCAGCGTGGTGATGTTGACGCTAAAGTTGGACAGCAGCGGCTCGGCGTCACCCAGGAACACCGACTTGAGTCCCTTTGAGAAGGCGCGCTCGAGCAGCTGCACCACCTGCGGGCTGTAGGGCCGCCACCGGCGGTGGCTGTTCTCCCACTCCCACACGACCACCACCTGCTGCATGGCCGACGCCATCGCCGCCGACGCACCGACGCCCGCGCCGCGCGCGCGCTCTGCCAGAGAGAAACGGAGGGCTGGGTCACCAGAGGTCAGACTGGGTCAACAGGGGTCAGACTGGGTCAACAGGGGCTAGACTGGGTCATCGAGGCCAGAGGTTCAACTTCAGAGTCAGTCAGAATCAGAGAGCAGAGTCGGGAGTCATGGCAACGAGCCAGGAGTAACAATCAGAGTTCTGCAAGGTTTGTTGACTGGAACTCCATTTTGACATTGTCCTGAACAGGGATGCGGAGCCGTGGAAATTTCCGGCGGCTTCGACTCCGGCTCCGGCTCCGGAGAAAAAATCGGAACCGGCTCCGGAGTCCGGCTCCGGGTGAAATGTCATGGCGGCTCCGGCTCCGGTTCCGAGCAAAATGGTCCGGCTCCGGTGGCTCCGGCTCCAGTACTCAGTGCATCCCCTATGCAATCAAATACGGGTGGAATAAAAAAGATGGTGGGATTGGTACACGTTGCTTCTGTATTTTTCTCTTTTTTTATAAATTTAGCTCGAATGTTTGCATGGACGGATTGACAGAGCCGGAGCCTACGCTAAGCAGAGCTTGTTGCGTAGACCCCGACCCCTACCGTCCGATCGGCAATTTCGGGTAACGGGAGAATTTAGATGCCAAAGTTTAACGTGCCCTTCAAAGCCGGACACGGCCTGTCCCACTCAACTGACTTCAACTGGCTGCGGCTGCTCCCACCAACCGCAGACCATCCCCGTCAGGAGTCTCAAATATCGAGCGCCGGAGCGTCTCGAACCCGGGCTCTCACTACCGGGAGTCCGATGCTCTACCAACTGAGCTACGGGACAGGCAAACTGAGCTACGGGATTTGCATAACAAGGCTATTTTGAAAACCACATGTAGTGTCGGCAAGATGTTCGACTTTACACCGCTATTACTAGAAAAGTTGTGAACCGATTTTCTTATTTCTTGCACGAGAAGATCCGCAATTCAATTGTGGACAGGTAGCCGAAAAAACCACATTAATGTTATGTCTGCGGCGCGAGTTATTGGCGAAAAACAGAAGGGGTGGGCGAAATCCGCCCCCCCCCCCTTCCACTGGGCGTGTTAATGTGAACTCATTTAATGCAGTAACACAGATTCTCAATATCCCAACCAGCGAATATAACTTTTAGTGATCATCTCATAAGTAAAAGAGAAAATTCACTGGCATGTGAACTAATTAAATTTTACATACCTAATGGAACTGTTGGTAAGAAAATGTTCTTTTCAATAGAAAAATATCAATCTTGCGTAACATAATGAGAGGCACTTAGGTTGATATATTTATAGGAATAAGCTTTTATTAGTTAAAGGTAATAAAAAATACTGATTCTAAATGACCTTTCCATGGAAAGTATCTCACATGTTATTATCAGACTACCAGAATAGCAATAGCCAATAAAAATAATAGCCAAACTCACTAGCAATAGCCAATATCCTATCTGCCAATTTTCTATATATACCTATGATCTAAATATATGCCTGGCTTAGCCTGTCAACCTACTGGTCATTTAGCATCGCCATGGCATAGTTTGTCTCATGTTAGGTATATACAAAACATTCAGTCAGCTTGTTGGTCTCTAATGAGCTTTCCATGATGCAAGCAATGCAAAATGTACTTCCATGAAAAAATAACATTACCTATGTTGCTACTTTAAAAATCACTATGACAAAAAAAGTTCTAAGTAGCCTCTATTATCCTGAGGTAATGTGGTTTAAACTTTTAAGTAGTATGGCATGAATTCATTTATGGCAGCAGGTTTAAACCATGGTCCATCTATGGGTGCACACTACACACTTTGAAAGGCAAGATTGAGGGTCCTTACTATACCCAAGTTGGCAGTTGGTGTCCCATTGATTTAAATAGATAAAATCCCAACATTCTTAGAATTGGTGTGTAGGATACTAAAGCTTTACAAATCAAAAGTCTTTCTTTAATTCTTAAAGTAAAAAGGTTGCTGGTTACTTTTAAGTATAATAGCTACAACTGTTTTTTTAAATTTCAAAATGCTATTCAATTTACTTGACCTTAGTTATGCCATTCTTTGAACCAAACACACAGTTCATCTGCTACACACACAGTCTTATGATCTGCACCCTACTGCAGCAGCTTTTGACTCTGCAGATCAGATGAAAATGTGCAGCTTATGTCTCAGAGGGTATAACAGATTACAGAATCAAAAAAAATGAGGGCTGCACTGCACAGACCCCTGCAGCCCTCAGACAAAGTGAAATTGAACTGGAACTTATTTTTTATTCCTGTTAATGGAAAGCTAGCCCATGAAAGCTGCAGTGTATATATTCCAAGACCACTGAATAATCATTAAGGGTGCATCTACACCAGAATTACTTCACATGCCAGCGCAGCTCTGCGATTGCACAATTTTGACGTATCTTGATCTTAATTAGATTAATAAAAGAAGTTGAAGTAGACCTTTTCCTCGACATAAAAAAATGTAAAAAACTAATAATATATTTTAAAAACGGGTACCTTTCGGCCTTGCTTTCGGCTACTGCCCACTGGCCTTTATCAAACTTATCTTGATTTTATCTGAGTCAGAGTCTCACCAAAAAGAAACTACAACCGTCAGACTCAGTACATATGAAATACACACCTGAAGAGAAACAATATGTTGACGATTTATTGAACGATTGGATAAGATAACTCAAAATACTGTCATTTTAATTAAAAAATAACACAAAATGCCTTTCGACCATAGCTTTCGACAAAATACACATCCCACACACTCTTTTCAACACAGAGAAAACTCTCGTCGATAGTGGCGCAGCAGGGACGAAAGCCAAATAGAAGCCAGCACGAAATTTTATTGTGCAGAGCATTTTGTTATTTTTTAAACTAAGGAAACTTACTGAGATTACGATAACTTAATCAGGCATGTTAAAACGCAGAAAAAAGTTCAATCGTTTTGAGCAAGAAACAAATTGCGAAAAATGATAAAGTTTTAAGCATCTATTGCAAATGCTTTGCCGGCTTAGAAAAAGTAGCGATGCTTGAAAAGAAGTTGCTGCTAATTGCCATTACCTTCGATTATGCAATTATGAGCTCTAAAAGTGCGCAGCAAGCATGCATGGAAAATAATGAAAAATATTTGTGACGTGTTACAAAAGGGCAAAAACTTCTCATACCGAAAAAATGACCCCTCTCTGCGTAGATTTGCATGCGTTGGCTTGTTTATGATAAACGGCCGCACCTCAGTCACGAGCTGAATGCTGATTGGACAAGACACGCTCCAGACCCTCAGGCACCATCACGTGACCTCAGGTCATCAAGGTTTGATGTCAGACGTTCGGACTCCACTCGGTGTTTTGAGTTTGGCGCGGGTAGAGTGTGGCACTCTGCAGATCGGAATGGTTCAGCCGGTTGAAAACGATCCTGCAGCACAGGTGAGAGAGGCGTTCAGGGATGTTCGGTTGTTGAATATTTTATAAAGGAATAGGACTGACGCGCCGTAAAGTAAGAAAGTGTCTGTTCCGGAAAACTGACGCGACTGCATAGGTAGAACACATCTGCAAGCATTATGTTATGAGGCGGTGACTCAGGAGCGTGAAAGCGCCCAGCCTACGTCAGTGTCACTATGCGCTACGAGCAGAGCACCACCCGAGCTCGGGTAGAACGTGAATAATTCCACATTTAACATTAGCTTGAAATTTTGACATTTATCTTTTTCGGACCACGTAGCGACCAATGATATCTGGATAAGCAGCATCGATCTTCTTTAGAAATACGGTATCACTTGATCGCTGATGTGCGCCTCCCTCCTTGCAGCCCGCTCCACTGCCGAACGGTGAAGTAGCGCCGGAGGCTCCGGATGCGCCGGCCGCTGCACCGGCACCGGCTGCCGCCCCGGCGCCGGCTGCCGTTCCCGTCGTGGTCGCCCCTGCCGCCCCCGCCCCCGCCCCCGCCCACGCCGCCGCCGACGACGGTCCGCCGCCGCTGGTGGCAGCCCGCCTGCGCCGTCCGCCGGCCGGCCTGCCCGGTCCGAGGCGGCGGCCCGTGCTGCCGGCCGCCCAGCTGCTCGGCACCGAGTCCCGCACGTGCGAGCTGCTGTCCGGCCTACCGGCGGTGGAGCACGCGTGCCGGCGCGGCCAGCGCCAGCACCAGCGTCTCCTGCAGACCAACTGGGTCTACAGCATGGTGTTCGTCTACTCGGCGTTCGTTTACAGGGCGGCCATGATGTCCCGGCGGTTCGGCGGCGCCTTCATCGGTGAGTGGACTATTGGAAACTATTGGGTTATCTTGTTCTCCTTATTTTCTTGCCGACATTTTTCTTTGGATTTTAGTCCGTGCTTCGTTAGGAATAAATGACTTCTTTATTAGACTGAAGAAATACCGTGCTCCCGTTTGTTTTTAGCCGCTTGCCAATCTGGAACTGGTGTGCGGTATGCGTATTTGGCCTTCCCTCAGCAGAAAGACAACTATTTGAGCGAAAATAGTCGCCATCGGCAGGGCAGAAACGTGCAATAAGACTACAAACAGACATGTGCATGGATCCGAGTGATGGATCTATGATCCCAGTGGATCTCGAAGCAAAGTACAGGTTGGGATCTATGATCCCACCGGATCCGGCGTGAAAAATACATCTTGGATCAATGATCTCATATGATCTGACGATAAATTACGAACATGGATCTATGATCTGAGTGGATCCCACCATGCACCACATTTGAAACCATTTTTTAAAGGGTTTCTATGCCAATAAGTGACACAAAACTATGGATTATGACGTGCGATCAAATAAAATCACTAAAACAGAACGTTTGTGAGTTGAAACAAGTGCTTTTTTGGGATATATGTGTTGACAAAAAATAAATGAGGATCTATGATCTCACTGGATCTCAAGCAAAAAATGAGACTCGGATCTGTGATCCCTACGGATCTCTCGATAGATTACAGAGCTGGATCTATGATCCCGTCGGATCAGAGATCAGGATCCGTGGGATCAGATCCCAGATCCATTTTCTCGGATCCATGGAGATGTCTGACTACCTACAAATGCCAGCTGGATGACTAATAACCATTCGTTTCCACTCCTTTTCTGTTTCAGGGACAACGATAGATTCGTCGATGTTCAACCTTCTCTCCTACATAGTGTTCCGATATCCGTTTCTAAGGGCTCGGGTGCGTACCGTACTATTTTATTATGCGTGGTTCTGTTATCTGCATACCATTTCGTTGAAATCAAGCCTGCTGCAGATATTTTTTAATTTTAATGATTCAAAGGAATGGCTACATGTGAACGCTTAACGGTCGGTGGGGAGCGATGGCGTGTGGCTGCTCCTGTTTTCGATTGTTGACCGTTTAAAAATTCGACGCTCAATCACCATATTCACGTGCCACCTCTGACGTCGCGGTTCCTCTCCCCGTTCTGCAGCCGGAGCAGATGCGCACGACGACCAAGAACTACCTGCACGACAACCGTCGCCGGGGTGTGCTGGCCACGCTGTCGGTCACCGTGATCACGGTCACCCTGCGGCCGGTGTCGTTCGCCTTCCAGCTGCACTCTCTGTTCCTGCGCGCCTGGAGCTGGGTCATCGAGAGGATCTCCGAGCTGCTAAACGACGGTGGGCAGCGACTTTGGGGAGGGGGTTACGGTGTGCAGCTGTGCAGCTGCCAAATTTGAACGTATTCTAGAAACTGGGGCAACTGATATCCCTTTCTTCGCTCATTTACACAAGTCTCATTTTTAACCGTTGGGGGCTCTTATTTTCAAGTAAGCTTCAGTTCAATGCGTGACTTAAAATGGTGAAATGAAATAGAGTGGCATCGAGTCGCTCAGTGTGTCGTGGAGGATTTTAGAAGGAGCAGAGCGAATCGACGTTTGTTTTGCTATTGGCAACTAGGCGACTGTACTAGCTCAGACCAACTGCATGGCCTATTGCTGCCGGCCCTACTGCTGCCGGCCCTACTGCTGCCGGCCCTACTGCTGCCGATCCTACTGCTGCCGATCCTACTGCTGCCGATCCTACTGCTGCCGATCCTACTGCTGCCGATCCTACTGCTGCCGATCCTACTGCTGCCGATCCTACTGCTGCCGATCCTACTGCTGCCGATCTATACTGATGCCGGTCCGTCTGCCCGCAGACCGTCCGCTGTGGGAGGTGGAGCTGGCCGAGGTGGCCACCCTGTTCGTGGGACGATCGGTGGCCCTCTTCTGGCGGCTGCCGTTCAACCTGTTCTACTACTGGGTGGCCGTTCCGCTGCTCATACACCCGGTAAGAGTGACGCCGACCCATCACTGGATGATAACAAGTTTAAACGGAAAATGGTGCTAAGCAATTAATCGGCGCTTCTATGCATGGAGATGTGGACCTTTATTGGATAATTTTATTTTGCGGTGACATGGCGTGATGCTAGAGCAGAGCTGCTATTCATGTGCGTGCATTCTCGTGATTTGCAGTTTGCGTCCTCCGTTCAGGTCGTACCCCTCCCCAATGAGCGCCGTCTCACGGCCCTGTGTCACCGCCTCCCCACAGGGTCAGCTGTTCCGGTGGATCCACGAGTCGCTGCAGGACATCCTGGTGCCAGACCTGCCCGGCGGCGACGGGGTGGAGATCTACGAGCTGCCAGAGCCAGAGGACGCCGACGAGCCCGACACACCCGGAGACGGACCCGCCGACGGAGAGGCGCCCGCCGAGGGCCAGGGCGCCCTGCACCCGGCGCCGGCGCCCGCCGAGGGCGCCGACCCCGCGCAGGTGGGTACCGGCCGGGGGGGGGGGGGAGTGACTGCCCCATAGTGTCTGGATGGGCCGATAAAGCGGGAATGTTGCTAACTATGCATCGCATACCTTACTGTACGAGACGTGGCGGGAAATCGGGCTCGACCGTTTTTTACGGTGTAAAGCGTCCGATTAAACAAAAATGACTGCAGTCAATCTTCAGTGACGGCTGTCTGCTACCCACAATCATGACGCTTCTTCGATTCACGATAATGGTGCATTCCAGAAGAGACCACTATCAAACCTTGTACGATATCGCTCCCAAATAGGCTATTGGAGCAGCACCTGATTGGCAGCACTCCGGCATAGAGGGCCTTTCCGCTTTTAAATCGTTCACCGCTCTGTAGGAATTGGTAACTCTGCATCGGTGACTGTTTTGATGGGCGTTCTCGGCTCTGGTTTCCAGCCGGCTGGAGATCAGAGCGATCCCGAACTGTCACCAGACGTGAGCAAATTCCACCTCGACTCCTTCCGAAGTCTGGACTCGCCCACCGTCCGAGAGCTCATTTCTAAATTTTCCGAAACCAGTGAGTGGAACTTTTTCCCTAATAGCACTAGGATTTGTTGACAGGGATGCGTACCTTCGTTTTCAGCCATCTAATACTACCAGAAATTTCGGAGGTTACTTTTATTCACATCTGCAATAATTTGAAGAGCCGTACCAGCGACAGTACAATTTCTGAGCGAACAGGTTGGAGCGGCGAACTAATGTGTTTTCTGTTCCTTTTTTAGGGGGTGCACCATCAGATGGCGAGGGCCGCCTAGCAGACGACCCTGCCGTTACGCCGCTGTCTGATGCCAAGGGTCGGGGACGTCGGGCTGTGGAACTTCAGAGGCTGGAGCCGGCGGCGTAACACTATAGTGAGCGGGTTAACCGAGTGAGCCGCCGTTTTAAAACCACCGCCCGTGGCTGGAACAGTAGCCTGCGAGTGTCAGCGATAGCGAGCGGTTGTGTCTAACGACCAAATTAGTTATACTCCATGCTGTGGATGAATCTCTCAAGGACAGTATGTGGCTACAAGAGCTGTGTGGGCTTGGCGCATGTGATACGGTGAAGTGGTCGATCGTTTTAAGAACTAGGTAATGCATGTTCCAGCGGAATGTATTTGGTTTTGTATAATTTATCATTGTTTACGTTGCAGGTACCGTCGTCGGTTATTTGGCTTTGGTATCAAATAAAACACAATTTTAGTTGCTTTGTTTAATTTGGTTTACCACCCTCACCCACGCAAGACTCGTCAGTTATCTGCATGGGGGTTGATATGGCAAGTCGACGATTCGATCAGTCGCCCTCCCTGATGGAGCATCGCGAGAGAAACGGCGTGTTCGCTGTCAATAGCGGTAGTGAGTGGAAGCCAATTTTTAAGATCCCTGGTCATCAGAAACACACTTGGGTCAGGTCGACAATCTGGATTATTTGTGATAAATATATTCGTCGAGAATGGTGCAACGAAATTTGCTCGTGCGTTTACGTTCCTCATCTCCAGGCGCATTAGATGACGTTATTTGGCAAATGTCGACTTGTTCGCGTCGCATTCGCATCGCATGTGTGTTCGCATCGAGTAACGTTCAGGCCAAGAAAATAGTCTTACTATAGGAAAGTCAACTGGCATAGCATTTAATGCAGTAACTCTTTTTGATTAAAACCTTTCCCCACTCACTGACTCGTCTTGACAAATGTTGACGAAAACTCTGGCTGTCGAGCTCACCAATAAAGTGTTTCATGAAGTTCTATAAAGAGTTCCACATCTTCATGAAAGGGAAAGATTCAGCTATATATATAACTGTGTGACAGTTTGATTACTGCTGAATGTGGGTTGGATTCGTACAATGTTTGAAAATAATCACACCTATGTCGCGTTTCGCATGTCACTATGTCACTATGTCACATAATAGCGTTTTGTCATTTTCTACCTGACTAATAAAATACCTAACTAAAATCAGGTTCTGCCGACATTTATTGCGCCTGTCAAAACGTTTAAAGCCGGGGCACTGCCCACCTATACCCTGAGAAATATGTTCGTTGCTACCGCTTGTGGTCCATCGAGCGTGACCCATAAAATATGTCAACAAGCCATCATGTCTGGCTACAAGACAAGAGCACTGCATGCACGGTCACGAAAACGGTTACGTGGATCCGACGCAACTAATCACAGCGAGCTGACTGGAGGATGTGGAAGGAGGGTACCTATAGGGCCCTGTCGTGGGGGGGGGGAGGGATGGAACGATGGGGCGTGGGAGGGAGCGAAGAGGAGAGGTGTGTGAACGAAAAGAAGGGATATGGGAGGGAACCAGAATATTGGTCCTTCCATGGAGGGATGTGTGGGGGAGGGTTCCATGACAACTGAACCAGTAGACAACTGAACCAGTGACAACTGAACCAGTGACAACTGAACCAGTGACAACTGAACCAGTGACAGCTGAACCAGTGACAACTGAACCAGGACAACTGAACCAGTGACAACTGAACCAGTGACAGCTGAACCAGGGACAACTGAACCAGTGACAACTGAACCTGGGACAACTGAACCTGGGACAACTGAACCAGGGACAACTGAACCAGTGGACAACTGAACCAGTAGACAACTGAACCAGTAGACAACTGAACCAGTAGACATCTGAACCAGTGACAACTGAACCAGTGACAACTGAACCAGTGACAACTGAACCAGTGACAACTGAACCAGTGCACAACTGAACCAGTGGACAACTGAGCCAGTGACAACTGAACCAGTGGACAACTGAACCAGTGGACAGCTGAACCAGTAGACAACTGAACCAGTGACAACTGAACCAGTGACAACTGAACCAGTGACAACTGAACCAGTGACAACTGAACCAGTGACAACTGAACCAGTGACAACTGAACCAGTGACAACTGAACCAGTATGACAGCTGAACCAGTATGACAGCTGAACCAGTGACAACTGAACCAGAGACATCTGAACCATTGACAATTGAGCCAGTCACAACTGAACCAGTAGCCCAGCCAGCAATTTTACTCCGGGCCCAAGCAGGCTGAAGTGAGGCTTGCCCGAGATTTTTAGTTGGGCGAAAGTCGGCTAGAGCTTGGGCTAAAGCCAGCTAGCGTTTGGGCAGTCGGCGTATCGTACCAGTATAACGCCTTTTGGGGCGACTAACGGAGCGAGCGAGAGGGTGAGCCTTGCACTTGCGAAATTTCGAGGGGGTACCTCCAGCTGACTTGTGCACGGCACCCTACTAACCGGTCTCTAACGATGTGCCAAATTTGAGCACAATCGGCCCAGCCGTTCTCAAGTTCTGGAAACGGCACCCTGCACGTGCGCACGTGCAAAATGGCTGGGTCCCAACTTGACTTTTGCACGGCACCCTACTAACCGGTCCCTAACCATGTGCCAAATTTGAGCGCCATTGGTCCAGCCGTTCTCGAGATCTGGAATCGACCCCTGCACGTGCGCACGTGCAGCAGCACCCCAACTCTGGCACATGCCATGGCATTGCCTAGTGGGTGCCTACCTACATGTCAACTTTCAGCGCAATCGGCCAAGTAGTTACCGAGATATTGCAACAATTACAAAAGTGATATCTCTTCGTTTTGCACGTGGCACGTGCATAAGGGGTCGCCCACATGCATCGGGAATAGTCCAATATTTGATAGAAGGAATGAAGCTACCCTACAAAAATTACCGCATGTAAATCGGTCAAGTGGTTGCTGAGATATAAGCGTCGCAGAATCGTGACCACGGCCGGCCGGCCGGCCGGCCGCTCATACTCAGAAATTTCCGTTATTCTACGTAAGACTCCGCTCGCTTCGCTCGCTCCGTAATGACTCAAAAACGCCGACTAAAGCCAATGCTCTGCCGAAGGTATGCGCGCTCGGCGAGCTCAGGACAGCCGTAGTTACGCCCTAGCTGTGCGACGTTTGGCGCAAGCCCGATGTAAGCCCGATTGTTTTGTTTTGTTGGGTTAGGCCCTTTCGGTCGACAAGACCATTGCAGAGCCGGAAGGATGATAGGAATTAGGGGGAGACAGTGGTCTGGGCAGGCACCCTAGTGAGTCGCCGGGGTTGAGCCCGTCCAGAGGACAGGCCAACCAGCCCCAAGGCACTCACTGCACCCGGCTACGGGGTGCGCTCCCTCGGGAGCAGCGGTGCCACTCCAAGGGAGCAGCCCGCATGAGATAAAGTTGCCTGTCCAGCCCGGAAGGGGATTGCGGCGTGGAGGAGAAGGATTTCAGTATCCTGAGGATAGAAGCACGGAACGGTGTAAGCCCGAGCAGTCAATCCATTTATATACCGGAGATTCCTCTGGGCCCAAGCGGGCTGAACTCTGCCAAGCCCACGTTACATGCCCTGTCTGTCCCGAGTTACGCCATCAAAGTGAATATTATTTATACGTTGCTAACTATTCGGGCGTCCCAGATGGGCGTAACGGTCAGTTCGCGACCACCAGGCTCTGTCAGCCCTGTCAGCCATCGTACGGCTCTCGGACGGACACTGACACAGATCAATTGGCAGACCGGCAGATTGGTACAGTCCGTCCGTCCAGCCACGCGCTACCTTATACCGATACAGCGCAGTACGACATTATAATTTTTTTCTGGTTCAGCTGTCCACTGGCTCAGTTGTCCACTGGTTCAGTTGTCCACTGGTTCAGTTGTTCGCTGGTTCAGTCGTCACTAGTTCAGTTGTCCACTGGTTCAGTTGTCACTGGTTCAGTTGTCCACTGGTTCAATTGTCACTGGTTCAGTTGTCCACTGGTTCAGTTGTTCGCTGGTTCAGTCATCACTGGTTCAGTTGTCTACTGGTTCAGTTGTCTACTGGTTCAGTTGTCCACTGGTTCAGTTGTCCACTGGTTCAGTTGTCCACTGGTTCAGTTGCCCACTGGTTCAGTTGTCACTGGTTCAGTTGTCACTGGTTCAGTTGTCTACTGGTTCAGTTGTCCACTGGTTCAGTTGTCCACTGGTTCAGTTGTCACTGGCTCAGTTGTCACTGGCTCAGTTGTCACTGGTTCAGTTGTCACTGGTTCAGTTATCACTGGTTCAGTTGTCTACTGGTTCAGTTGTCCACTGGTTCAGTTGTCATACTGGTTCAGTTGTCACTGGTTCAGTTATCACTGGTTCAGTTGTCGCTGGTTCAGTTGTCACTGGTTCAGTTGTCCCTGGTTCAGTTTTACTGGTTCAGTTGTCCCTGGTTCAGTTGTCACTGGTTCAGTTGTCTGCCTACCGTGGGGGAGCGGGCCCCGTCATGGAGCGTTTAGTGAGGAGACCCTCACACGGAGGGCTTTCGGTCCCTTTTATAGAAGGGTTTGGGAGGGGACGGACGTGGCGGCTCCATGCTGCCGTGGGACCCTGCGGGCGGGGGGGGGGGGGGGGCGCAGGAGAGTGCCACGGAATGCTGATGACATGGCAGCGTCAGCGCCTGTACACTCCGAACCCGACCTGGCTCGCGGGGCGGGCGGGGACGACACCTGACCGGCCGGCCGGCGGACGCCAGTTCCACAGAGACACGACTGTGGAGCGGTGCATCGAACTGGGCCGCTGCGAACGCCATACACAGCTCGGCTCCATGGATACAGGTGGGAGAACTTTACTCATTGGATTGGTGAGAGGATAGTGACTAAGAACGTTATGTTGTCGGCGTTGCATTCGTACGTATCGCATTGTCAGTGATGCAATACAATGCGATGTGAGAAGCTAATGTGTACAGAGCTGAACGTATCTGCCATCAGTGAGTGATGTTACAAAGGTCGTTGAAATAATGAAGGTGCATTGGCAACGGTCAGGTCAAAGTTCGGCCGTAAGAAGGGTTTACTAAGCGACGGAGCTTCTGAATTCCACCTTTTTTAGTTACAGGCTGGTAGATTGTGGCTTAGGTACTGAATCAAATGAGAGCATTGCAAAAAGACATTCGATAGCGGCACATTTCTATGACGCCGAGTCATTTTTTGTTCGGCCCGATTCAAAGCTCTTTCGAAAGACGTCCTCGAAATGGAGTGTGATACTCAAAAGCGAAACAGCCGGATAGACGGTTAACCCGCGCCCCAGTGGCGGTCTCAGCCAACTTCGCCCTAGTGGGGGGGGGGGGGGGCATATGTTACCACCCACCTCAACTCAAAAACTAAGAGGGATAGAAAGACGCGGTAAAAAGCAGTCGATAGCTCTCAATGCGTACGTTTGAAAGTATATCGGTCATTTTTCATCTTAGAGCAATA